TTGAATGAGCTGTGATGGAGAACTAAACTTATCGGCTCAGTTTTCACTTGAATAAAAACATAAATGGTGGACGTAATTTTTTTTGTATTATTATTCTACTTTCGTAACTTTTGACTGCTATGGGTTTCAAATTTTGAAACGACAGAGCACTTTTAGGGTCGATGCAGGATCAGTCATCTTGACCTTTCTTGAATAATGCCATTCCAGGATTTCACAGAAATGATAGAAAGCGCAGCCCTTTCGTTCTGGTTGGAAGGCTTTTATCATCGAAAGGAGGTGATGAACAAAGCAAGGGTAACAGTTTACTTGGTACACTTCATGAGTCCCTTCGATGATTTTTGGTCGCGCACATAAACAATCGTTCCCTAACAATTTAATTTTAAAAATCAACATATTAATTGGTTGCAACTTTTCAATAGTTTTGCATGTGTTAAAAATAATTTATTCTCATAATTAGTAAGATTCATCACTACCTAATTCCGAATTTAAAAAAATTGTAATTAGAAGTGAAAGGAAGAATTAAAACAAATATAGTCTCTAATAAATTCCTTATCATCTTTCAACTTGTGTAAAAATTTGAATCTTATATTATATATAATTTATTTTTATATACTGATAGTATAATTTTTTAATTTTATAAATAAAATTAAAAAATTATCACATTTTTTTATTTTTTATTTTATTATATTTTAAAATATATGTATTAATTTATTTGTGAAGTCTAAAAATTTTATTGTCCAGTGTGATTATTTATATATATATATTCATCCATCTTTTAGACTCCTCCCCCATTTGTGTAAAAATGGAATTAAAAAATTGAAGATTCTCACAATATTTTCAAATGAACTTCAATTAAATGAGAGTATGAGTTAGGCACTTAGGACCACGTTGAAAATGTATGTAAAATTTTCATAGCGTGACAGATATAGACATAAATAAAACGAAGTTAGGGTCTGCAGGTAAAAGAAACACAAAGAGGTAAGACTTTTTGGGAGCATATAAAGTGTAATACTATAAGACAACCTAAAATTAAAAAAAAAAAAATGGCAAGTATCTCCACGTGAAAGAACAGTGAATGAAAATAAGGTTGAAGGTTCCAAAAAGAAAGGTATAATTAGTGTATATATATATTGTAATATATATAATAATAGTAGTAATATTTTTTAACTTTTAATGAGCTGACTTCTCTGTCAAGGTTTGGTGGTCCAACACCACAAGGCATGACCCATCTTGGTGATATATAATAAACATACAAGTTTAGGCTTTAGCAATGCATGGTAAACACACATTTTTAGAATATTTAGCATTGATCACGTTGGTCTCAAGCTATATTATCTTTAAGAACTCCCCTGTCAAAGCCTTACTCTCAATGATATTTTTTTAGATATTAAGATTGGAAATAAATATAAAATAAAATTCTTCTTTCTTATTCACAGTCGCACACCGTATGTATAACAAATACCAATATATATATATAGTAACCATATTTTTTTTTTCTTCAATAAAAATCGAAGATAAAAAAAATTTTATAGGTGTTAATATTTAAACTTTAAATTTATTTGGTGATATCTCTTAAAAATAATTGTATGAAACAATTAAACATAAATTCAATAAACACACCTTTAACATATGATTGTATTTTAGTAAATTTTGTTAATAAAATTACAATTTTTATTAGATATTAGAAGTTGTCATGCATTAACCATGTTTAGTTGTACATATACTTGTGACAAGTATATATTTATTAGTTCAAGAACTAGTCCAGTTATGTAACTTTACTTTTTAATATTCAATATATTGGAATTATTATCAAATTTTTGAACATCAATGCCAAGAATAAATTTAACTTTATTTCTAAAATATTTTTCTATAAGACACATTTTGATCTGTGCATATAGTAAAGTTCATACAAATCTTCGTATATAAATTGCTCCAATTTAACGCAAACTCAGACAATAAACCGAGTCAGGTTTTTTGAGATTTTGATATTTATCATTACATTTCAGTCTCATTTTGATTATATATAAAAGAACACCAAATTAAGATGATGATGATGCAGACAAAATAAGATCAGTCGTTCTCAGATTTTTTTTCTTGGAGGTTGGTAATGCTAGAGAAAATTCAAAGAAAATGAGCAGTTCAATGAGTGAAACCAAGTATAAGGGAAAGAAAGAAAACAAAATGACAGAGAAAAAGGAAAGGTTGTATGATGATGAGAAGCATTGGAAGAGGCAAAGATTCTTGTATGAAGAGAGTGTCGTCCTATACTAATCATTATATTTCTTTTCCTTCTAGCCAAACAAAAATGAGTGGAGTGAAGCATACCCATACGCAGAGAAAACGAGAAAAAAAAAAAGAAAATAAAAGAAAAGAAAGAAAGATTAGTAGCTTAGTTTGGTGAGCAGTCAGCATTAACGAGTCTTGCCGACAGGAAATTCTGTCTCTCCACTAAATGATCAGTAAATAGAACAGGACCCCTAAAGAATGGTAAAAACCAAAAGCAACACAAATTCACTCCACTTTTTTTTATCTACCCTCTTTCAAAAGGTGAATCAGCACTTGGTTTTACATACATGGATATGTGTATATAATATATTTCAACTTTTTAACTGTGGGTGGAGGTGGGTGGGGTGAATCTAATTCCATCGAGGCATTAAGCCAAAAGGGAGAATTCAAAGTTCGAAGTGCTTTTTCGAGGTGGTTTTATATGTTGAGAAGGAAAAAGATGGAAAGCCGATAGTAATTTCTTGAAAAATCTATGTTTGGTTGGTTTCCATGAAGGGGTTGCAACATGCCATTTGGTTGGTTTCCATGAAGGGGTTGCAACATGCCACAGTGATAGCTTACTATAATTGGAAGACAGAGCGATGCTTGATGACCAACCATATTGTCAAATGACTCCTTATAGCCCCTTGGTATCATCTATCTCTGCAATTCATTGCCTCCCCCTTTTCCGCTTGTTTTTCCTCTTTTTTTTCTTACTCAAATTGCATGTGTAATCCTCCCCCCCCAGCTTTTCTTAACTAGCATTTCTTTTTGTTTTTCCTCAACAAATGATCCCAGTTTTATGAATAAAATCTTGAAGTCTATGCTTCAGTTAATTTAACCATGTAAAGCAGATAAAATTAATCATATAGGTCCTATAATGATAAGAGTGCTGCTAAATACATGGCAGCCTTTTCTAATCACATTTAAGCTTTTTTTTTTAAATTGTAAATGAAATTATTTAATTATTTTTTTATACAAATTTTTGAAAAATAATATAACTATTTAAAAAAAAAAATTTTTTGAAATCATATAACTTTTAAAGAATGAATTTTCAAAAAATTATAAACTTTCGCAAAAAATTATGACTTTTTGAAATTTTATTTTTTAAAAGTAATAAATTCTAAAAAATTATAAAAAAAAAATAATTAAGTAATTCCACTTAAAAAAATTTTAAAACAAAATGTTAAAGTGTGAAAAGAAAAAATAGGATGCATTTAATAACACTCTAATGATAATCAAAATTAAACTAAGGAGTGTACAAACAAAGTAGATAAATATGGGAAAATCCAATAGAAGTAGTGTACAAATAAGGTAGATAAATATGGGAAATCCACTAGGGAACTCGCAGTACTAGTTTAACTTGTACTGGTAGTTTTAAAATTACGGAGGCATGAGGAACCAATGAATCAGTTTGAAATTGTTGTAGGATCACTCTCAATCTCAACTCTCTCAAGCATCTTCTGTGCCACTTCATGCCGACAATCTTCCTTTGCTTTGGGTCCTCTTTAAGACCTTTCTTGCAATCATGGGGGGCATCAGCCAATGACTCTGCATGAACATCATGAGCTTTGGAATGTTTAAAAGATAAGTTACCCCAAAGATGATTTGATGGGCAAAAACCTGATCTCTCTCCTAGACAACCAAAGCTTGGAAAAAGACTTCCACTTCTTTCTTGGTGGGGCTCCACTCTCCCAAACACAAAAAACAGGGGATATCTAGATGAGATGGAAACATTTGGAAGTGCTCCTCCAGCTATAAAGGCCTGGTCTCATGTCCTTCTGACCCACGTACTGAAATAGGGCTCGCCATCCACCCAACCGGCTCGAGGAACCTCTTCCAAAAAGACACCTCCCTGTCAAAAAAACTTACGTCTTTGGATCCTTCAGCCAAATTCCTCTCTAATCATGGTCCAACAGTCCTAACGCACAACCATCTTATGGTGGTCTCTCCACTCCGACAATATCTTTGTCACATGCTTCTGCCAAAAAAGAACAAGACATTTAGCATAATTATCTAAAGTTCATTCCTCAGTTCAAGTTCAACTTATGATAATTGATTTTATCAAAGTTTTTGAACATATGTTTCTATAGTTTACTGTTCATCCAGAAAATAACACAGTAATATAAACAACTACAAATCCAAAGAAGAAATGAGCCTATCCAGACATTTCTGATAAGAAATATACTTTGAACCTGCCAGTTTCAGCGAAGCGGACAATGTACTTCTGATGTGATTTATGATTGCATCACAAGTCACAAAAACTAAACACAGTGGACACACAAAAGCCAGAAATCTTATCAAATTCTGGTAGGGGTACAGATACAGCATGGTCCAGGCAATTACCTGTTTTGGCTGAGAAAACGAACCTAAACTTGGAACTTCCTTCCAACTTCAGGTTGCGGAAAGACCCTCTAGAGGGGCATATGATGGACCACCAAATAGCAAAATTCAAGCACCAATGACCAGAAATAGTGAAAGGTTTTTCAGCAAAACCTCCCCCAATCATTTTTACCATACATCAAAGAGCAAATGATATCCAAATTGGACGTGTGAAATTGCACAAAGAAAGAGTGTTGATCACGCTAGTTTGCGAAGGAAATGAGATGATCATGCAAAGGATCCACACTTCAAATAAATATTGAAAATAAGGGACCAGCTGTACATTATATCAATTACAAAAGTTCAGCTGCACTTTAAGATCTAAATAAAGAAACAATGTAACAAACTTTTTTCAGACAGAAAGGTAATTGTCTTTAGAAGATAAATTACTTCATCAAGAACAATAAAATGGTGAACTGGACTAGGAGAGAAATTGCTTTTTTGGATTCTTAAGAACATAACTAAGGGCTCATAAGTCTTCAAGCAGGATTGTAAATGGAATAGAGAAAATTCAGTAACTAATATCATCTATTCACACATGCATTGAAGTCCTTAACCTATATCAAGTTCCATAAACAAAAAATCAAATATGGAAGGTAGCATATGAACTAAATCAGATCATATAAGTTCCAATATTGCTCAAGATAACAGCAAATAAGTGCTTTATGTCAAAGCATATAACTTGTTTGTAACCCTCAAAACACAATTTAGAGTCCGGATATGTTCATAAAACCAAGAGAAATCATAAATATTCCCCTTTATAGATATTATTTTTTATCAAAAATGCTAGAGGAAAAAAATTACATTCTTCTTCCTGTTCTGTAACTTCTATTCATGCAGCATTCTCTATCTTTACAAACAAGAAGACTCTTTTTCTGCAAATCCAAAAGCCCCAAAATCATGCCAGGGTAAAAGATGGGAAATGCTCAAACTGTGAGGCTGAGCAGTGGTAGGAATACAATATTCAACCCCAATCAATACCCTTTTCCTCCCACCTGACTCTCCCAAAATCTTCTAAACAGTAAGTAAAAACTAGTACAAAATGGAAAAAAAAAAAAAAAGTAGTAAAAAGAATTCAAAAAATCCTACAATTTTCAAATTTCTAAAGAAATGGGAAAAAAAAAAGAAAGAAAAAACGTTACACTGAGGATGTTTCAATAAGAACCTCATTTAGTACATCATCCTCACTGTTTGCCAATGCGAAAAGCTCTGCATCCTTTTCTTCATCCCTGGAAAAATCCCGCCTCTCGAGCTTGTTGTGTGCTGCAATAAATATCAACTTTTGAGCCCTGTCCATGCCTACCCTTGAATGCCCATGTGCGCCTGCCCATCTCAACAAAGACCAACTGCATTTGAATCCACATGAAGTTGCATGGAGGAAAATAAGCCTAACTGCAACTTTCCCTAGGGACTTGAACTCAGTAAGATAAGTTTCCCAAACAAGCCTACTGCTCTGGGGATTAGCAATTTTCATCTTCCCTGTGACTGGATCTCTCTCCTTCATCTGCACCGCTTGGGCATATACCGGATCAAGCCCTTCTGTTCTCCATTTCATAAGTTCCATAAGAGCAATATGAGCCTCCTCTCTAGATACAAGCCTGGTTATCAGCTTATCAACATCCTTTTCTTGCTCAATTGTCAAGCACTTGAAGGGGGGAAGGTACTTCCCACTCATGTCTTTAATCAAGTAAAATGGATCAAGTATATATGAAGCAGCCCAAGCCGGGTGGTAGTTTTTCTTGAACCGCCTTTCAATCACTTTCTCTACTGGACCTTCTGCAATGTGAAATTTTGAACACCAATCCCTTACCTTGGTTCTAAGATCATCCCAAAGTGGCAGGCATTGCCCAACTAGTGGTCTTTCTGTCTCAATCTCGTGAGCCATTTCTGTGATCAATTTAACCAATGAATGCACCGCCTCCAAGTCATTCCAAAACCCCATATCTCGAATCATCTCTGCAACGTCCCTGGCAACTGGATCCTCCATGGACAGCAGCTTATATGTTTCGTCAAGCAAAACCAACTGAAGTGCCCGAGCTGAGTTCAATATATCTTCAATCATTCTATACACAGGTCCAAAATTCAAGCTTTCATGATCACGCAAGGGCACTCTCAATAACCCGGCACTCCCACACTCCTGCAACTGATACTTTAGAAAGCTACTTCGAATTTGACTCGTATTATTTATGAAACTTGCAAGCTTCAAGGCATTCTCAGTCACTACCTTGAACAAAGGAAGCTCCTTGCTAAAGTCCTTAATCAAACTTTTAAAACCCTGAAACTGACAAGAAAGATTAACCATCCAATGATGCTGATTCTCCAAATTCCTCAATGCTTTAGCCTTAAACTTATCAGCAACAATCCCTGCACATTGCTGCACAGCATTCCCACAAATTCCCGTTACCGTCTCCCACAGCACCTCCTCTGCATATTTAGAAGGAACAGAACCACTAAGAAAAACTGCTCTTCTATACAAGCTAGTCCCATTAGGCAAATTCACGGTCAAATTCACCAAGCTCTCTTCCCCACTAGAAAAGCTCTCAACTTTCCACCCATCAGATGCAACCTGAAAGAACATAGCATCTCTAATCCTTGCCTCGGATTCAGCTTTCACTTCCTCATACTTAACATCCAATCTACTCCCAGCAAGCTCCCTCCTTGAAACCGGTGGCAAACCAACTTGATTAAGAAAAGCTCTAAACTTTGGATGTTCGAGACTCGAAAATGAAACCGACCCACAACACTCATAAATCCAATCAGCTAAAAATTCAACTGCACAATCAATCTGGGACTTGCTTAAAGTCGGCCCAGGTGAAGTCTTAGGACTTTTTAGCTTCTTTACACTATCTTCTAACATAGCCAAAGCACTTAAATCCTCTCTCCCTCCAGACAAAACCAAATGCTGCTGATGTTGTGGTACCAAACTTCCACCACTCGCCGTCACAACCGCCCCTGGCGACGGCGAGTAAGCTAACTCCCCACAAAACCTTGAAGGATCAACAATAGCCAGCGGAGTAGCCTGATAAGAACAACCCGAACCTGAAACAGAACCCGAACCCGAGGCAACAAGGACCCCGCCAGTGGCAGTTACAGTAACCGAAGAAGAACTTCGTTTTCTATTACTTTGAGTTGCGGTTGCTGTTGCTACCGTTGTTGCAGATGGAGAAACAGAAGAAATGGGTTTAGCAAGAGAGTTAAAATTGGGACAAGTTCCCCTCTTTAGATGTTCTGAAGCTGTTCTTGAAGGATTAGATGCTGAGAAAACGGCTTCGCACAAAGAGCACCGGAGCTTTACAGCTTTGGGAAGTCCGGTATCAGTATTATGAACGAGCATGGGCTCGAGATGAGCCCAATACCAAGCTCCTTTACCTTTTATAGCTTTGTTTCGAACCAAGACTAACCCTTCGTACCTTTTGTGTATGGCCTTGGCTGTTAACTCGTCGGCTGAGACTGAGTCCACTGGAGTGGTTGTTGTATTAGTCGTGGCAGCCATTGCACAGGGACTTCGATGAAAAAAAGGAAAATTTGGCTACTCTTTTTGGAGTTTCACTGAAAGATTCTGCTTCTTGTCTTTGCTACTGTTGATGTCGTTGTTGTTCTTGTCATCATTTTCTTCTTCTTCTCCTTGTTCCCGTGAATTATATAAACGACAACGTTTTACTGGTTCTTGCATTTAGCCGGGAAAATCCGCCGGCCCTGGCCGGATCTTGATTTCCCGGCGAGTTTCCATGCAGTTTTTGGTTTTTGTTATTGGGTATTTGATTTTTTTAGCAGAAGAAATTTCAAAGCCAAAGAAAGAGAGAGAAAGTAAAAAAGGTGTGGTAAGATAGAAATAAAGGGGGACACAAGAGAAAGAGAGAGAGGTAGAGTATAGTATTGACGCCCTGACACGCGCCGTCGAGGTGAGCGTGGGGGAAAGAGAAGGGGGCATGTTGATGGAAACTGGTGCATTGAGGTAACACCGGAGTCCCACGTACGAAAACATTTACTACCTGACAATGGTTGTCACGAACAGGTGATTGGAGAGTACTCTTCACTCGCCATAAAAGGTTCTAGTTTTGGTATCACTTTCATGTTTCTGCCTTTAATTTTCTTTTTCATTTTATTTTTTTTTTCCAACCATTTTCTTTCTTTCTATCTTTCTCTTTTGCGTTGCTGGGGTCTTGTTTGTCTTGTCTGTTTCTTTCCCTTCCTCTTCTTTCACTTTTAAAGATGTTGGGAATTTTCATATATATATATTTTTTAAAGAAAACTTGATTTTCTGTAGGATTTTTTTTCATGGCCCAACCAACCCAACCAGACCACAGATGAGTTAAAATGGGTTTCCATTTGTGACCTGTTGTTAACGTCGTTTTTTCTCAGAATGTGAACATAAAAAGGGCAGCCTAGGAATTGAATGAATTCCACTCCCTTCAACCAGTTCTTCTTGGCCAGTGTTGACCAAAGACAGCCAAACCAAAAAATTCCACCAAACACCCTACGCTCGGGGATTTTTTTCAATTTTTTTATCATTATTTTTCCTCTAATTTATTATTCCAAATTTTTTTATTTTGAATTTTTCTATAAGGGCCCTAAGATTAGGTAGCATATTCATGAGTAAAAATCCTGGCCAAATTTTATCTTTTTTTATTTTAAAGTTAATGTGATAAATAATCTTTGAATTATAATAAAATATTAAATTTACAAATTTTAAAATTTTTAATTTAATATTTAAATCATGAATATATTAAATAAGGTAAGATTTACTTTTATCATTGTTAATTTTAAATAATAACATGTAATTAATAAATAATTTTTTAAATATCATAATAATTAATAAATTCAAAATTTATCTATCAAATTAAATATTTTTAAAAATTAAATAACATATTAAATATTCTATTCTAATTTAAAAATTATTAGTGGTATTATCCCTTACTTTGTACTTACCTCCTCGTCACCACCCATCCCATTACCAAATTTTAATAGGTAAATATATTTTGTTTTGGTAAAAAAAGTTTTAAAATAAATAAGTGATTCAATCTCTTAGATCAGAGTAAAATATATCGTATTTAACAGTTTAAGATAAGTTATTATAGATTGTACATTCGAGATAATCTCAATAAATGACTATCGATAGGATTTAAATTTAAAATATTTTTATCAAAATGAACGATCTTAATTGATTAAATCAATAACTTATTAATAATAAATAAATATATTTTTATTTGATTTGATTGTGTTTTGGACACCCCTTAATTTATCAAAATAAGCAAAAGAATTCAGCATTAAAATTATCTCTTAATCACAACAATCATCTCTCTTCTTCTTTTCAACTTAATTGTCTAAATCTAATCATGAACACATCATTCATTTTAGATTATGATCTAGAAAAAGATCATTTACCCTAGCAGCTATCCCTTAAAATAAGTATTAGTAGCATCAATTTGTTCCGAGTACAAAAGTTTTTTATATACCCCCAATTGGGCTATTTGTATTTATGAACAAAAAATTTGAAGATTTTTTCTCAGGGGACCGGTTCGAAAACATCCGATGCACATATGAGAAACAACGGCTTCCAAATTTAGTTATTAATTTTGTTTAATTGATCATTTACAACGTAAAAATACAAAGATAAAAAATCATTTTTTTCAAATAAAAGGAGTCTTCGTAAATAGTTTGTAATCTTAAAAATAGATATGATGATTTATGTATTTATATCATATAAAATATTAAAATTCATATATTTATATTATATTTTACATAAAAATTATATGTTATAATTCGTATCAATATTAAAATATAAAATATAAATTTTAATTTTGTTAAAATTAAATATAATTATTACTAAAATTTTAAATTATGTTATATTCGTATCTTATATTCGTATCATATTTAAATTATATCATCATATCATATTTTAAATTATCAAATCTACTTAAAAAGTAAAAAATGTCAAAAATTTTATTTTATTTTTTTAGTTAAAGACGGAATACACGTTAAATGGTCAAAGTTTCATTAAGATTCTATTGAAGATCAAGTAATTTTATTCTACCTGACATTAAAAAAAGAACAAAAACAGAAGAAAATAACAAATCTCTTTTAAGTTAGAACTTTCTTTCCTATATGATTATTTTGTCATTAGTGTGGGGGAGAGATTAAATTTGATATGCATATATTTTTTAAAACAAAGGGTGTTTGTTACTAATTAAATTTAAATTAGTGGGAAGATCAAGAGTTGATTAAATTGTTAAATGAAGTTTAGTTGGTCCTTAAATGGAGCACACGTTTTCTATCAAAGGACTTTAAATGAGAGAAAGGGTCAATTTTTAATGCCTTAGTTGTCCATTTCCATTGAGTCAATAACCATATGTCACCCAACTGTCATCCACCTTATGTATCATCTTTCTCTTGAAACCATAGACATTACCCCTTTTTAAGCCATCAATTTTGAATTCTTCCCAATTCCCTAAGAAAAAATTGTAGTCATCCCTTAATTAGAGTTGAGCTATTTTTACATATCAATTCTAAGAATTCAATTGCAAAAAATTATGGACGTGACTTTATACCTACAAATTTTAGTGCATGCTTCAAAGTGGAAAACTCAAAAAAATAATCGTCATTTACGATAATTAAAAATTAAAATATAAATTTAAAATTTAATTCAATTTATTTATTTAATAAGTTTAAATTTTAAATTTTAATATTAAATTCTTTATTGATGTTCGATTTTTTTTTTTGTACTTGGGAAAATGAAATATTGGATTTTTATAGCTTTTAAATATATATTAAAAAAAAAAGCTTAAAATTTTTGAAAATTTGGATGAAATTCAACAAAAGAAAATTCTTCAAAGATTGTCGTTTTCAAAACTTTTTTTAACGCATACCATATGAGAATTGAAAACATTTCTTTGGAGGTCCTTGTCCCTTGTTCTCTATCTTTCCGGCAGGAAAGGAATTATCATAGAATTTTTTCATCTATAAATAAAGTTAGAATTTATATATATATATATTTTTAATCAATTTTCCTTCTCGCTGGACTCATCAAACCAACGTATATGTGGGGTGGCTTCAATTGACTTACTATTATTAGAGAAGAAAACCTCCTTAGCAGTTGGCAGATTCGGTGACACTCACATGTTTTCTATCAACTTCGATTGTAACTCGTTAATGTACTAGCCAATGGAAACACATTTTAAGTAAAAACCCATTTTATCTTTATGAGATTTTTAAGTTTAATCTTATAGAACGAAGATCAATTCTAATTTTATTACCATAAATTATACACTTTTTTTCATTATATTTATTTTTAATGTGTATTTAAAAAAAATATAATTACTCTTAAGAGTAATTACATGAAAAAAAAAAAGAAATTATAGATACAATGAGAAAATTTAAGATGATTAAATGTTATATATTAATAATGATTACATTAATTAATTAAATTAAAATTTGAATTTAAACCTTGAAACATTACAAATTTTGAATAATCTCGTTGCTACTTCCACACGAAATTTCAAGCTTGACTCAACTTTTATACTAAGTAATACTTAGTTTACAATAGGGGAAAAGCAACAGCTTATCTTAATTAACAAAATTAAGCGATGCATACATACTAGAAAATCCCAAATGATAAAGCAAAATTACTGTGGAGTAGGCCATAAAAGCCACTAGCTGCTTCTCTCTTTATTGTATAAAAAGTCAATGGAAAACCAACATATTGTCTATCAACGCCTCTACATAAAATGATAGAAAGCAATACCCTTCAACTCAAACTTAACGTTGTTCTTACATTTGTACTGCTGTTTCTAGCTATTACGAAAATAAAAAAAAAATAATAATAATCAAATTTTTTTTTAAAGTTTGACTCTTTTGTTGAATTATGAACATAACTATCTCCCTTCTCTTTACCATCATGGTTCATGAATCATATTTAAATTTGAATTCAAAATCTTAAACTTTCTTAAAAAAGAACTAAATCAAACAAATACCATTGATCTTTTTTTTTCCCTTTTCACCATTTTCCTTGAGGATATGCATTATTTTTGCTGCTATTTATTTCCCAACACAGATATATGCCTTTCCTAAATTCCAAGCTTTTCCCTTTCTTCCTATTGGACTTTGGAGACAATTATAGACACTTTCATTTCACATCTTATCATTAGAAGTGCACCAAAATTACCCTTTTATTTTTTTTTCTTTAAAGAAAGGATAAAATAATTCATTTTGTTCCATTTCATATGTTTAATTATTTGACATGCCATGGAGTTTTGAGAGAAATTCATTAAATTTCTAATAATTCTAATTGAATTGTTAAATCATCTAAAAATTAATTAAAATAGAACATATTCTCTTCAAACCTCATTCAAGGGGAGAATTCACAAATACAAAACATTTGCAAAGTTATGATTAGGAACTTCTTTTGCGTTTGGATGTACAGAATGATCAATTTCATGCATATCACAAAATTGGCAATGTTTCCATATTATCAGTGCGGACCAAATTGAATAAACTTGGTTGTTTTTATCATGGGGCATGACCCATTCTCTACCTAAGGGCCCATGATTAACCTTGTGATTTATGACACGTGTTAATCATGGATTGATGAAGGTAACAATTCCCCAATGATGCCACAAAAAAGAATGCCATAAAGTTTGAGAAATGATGAGAAAAGTCATTTGCAATTTCCCCCCCTTTATAAAAAGGTGGAGGAGAGGGCAAAGAAAAGAGTGAAGGAGGGCGGGGGAGGGGGGGGGCAATTTGAGACCTAAAAGCATTGAAAGTTGAAACTTGTGTTTGCAAAATACAAACCAGCTGGCTTGATCAACCACATGATTAATGAAATGGACCCACCCATTTGGTGAAATCCTTGTGGTTTTACTTCCACCTGGTGCTCACTCAAAGTTAACAAGATTGGACAATGATACAAATTCTCCTAAAGTTACAGCTCCTGCTCTTTTCCTTGTCTGATAGTCCCTTGATGGGCTAAATATGGAATTAGGGTCTAAGAGTGATCATCTCTCAATTGTTATTTATTGCATCCGAATATTTGGTTTAATAATAAATATATTATTACATATATATATCTCTTAATTCGACTAATTTCATTCAAAAATATTCATTTAAAAAATAATAATAATAACAATATACTTGTCTTACTGTTTTCAATCATAAAATTTATAATTTCAAGTAAATTTGTTGAGAAATGGTGATAATGGTAACTAGTTTTAAGTTTGAGTTATTCATTCAAATATGGATGGGTAGGAACACATTATGACTCGATCCATAGAGGTTCACAAGGACCTTAGAATATTTTTAGTATTAAACAACACATAAAATGGATCATTGGTAGTTTCATTTGACACAAAATTGATAGTTAATTATTAATTGAAGTGGTGAGCTTTAAATTAGTTTCTCAAATCTATTTTCATGCTATAATTCAGTAACTGTTAGATGACATATTATGGGCAAATATGATGGCCAGCATTGTTAAAATGGATTTTATGATCCAAAATTCCAGCATCTCAATCATGTGGGCGAGCTTGAAAAGAATTTTGGCTTGGTATTCATCTATGAACAAAAAATATATTCAAAGGATATGGCCGATAACTCAATTTGAGGCCTATGGTTATATCCAAAAAACTGGAACTTGAACTTGAACCCCTACACATGAAATTGATTGTAGAGACCCAGCTTGAGGAAGGAGATTAATGGGCTGAATGCTTTGAAATGGTGGAGGCCCATAATTTCCTTCAGAAAAACATCAGAAGAGGTGGTTAAACAAATTAAACGCCCACCGTGGGGCTCGAACCCACGACCACAAGGTTAAGAGCCTTGCGCTCTACCGACTGAGCTAGACGGGCTTGCCAATGGAAGATTGGAATAGTAAATAATTGTAGAGAAAATCACTGACAATGAGGCTCCGACGCCATGATCACGGAGAACTACTAGTGTTTTGCGAGTTAAGATTAAATTATTTCCCTAGTCGAGACAGTCTGGTTGCAGTACAGAAAATATCAATGGGTTTCACCAGTAAATAGCGCCATGGCTTGAGACATTGAACCCCCTAACTGAATCAGGATAGTTCTTGACTCTGCAGTTTAATCTCAACACAATATATTCTGCAGTTCATAACATAGCGTCTATGACAACAGAGAGTGGAAGAGTTTGGCTGATTAATTACTGCTACAAAAAATCAATGAACACTACAGGCAAAAACGATGGATTTCGAGAGAAAGAGAGAAGAAAGAAACGAGACACCCTTTTCAACTATCAGTCAAGATTAGGACTTTTGGCAACTTTGAATTGTTGGTGTACTTGCCTATCAAATGCAAAGAAAAGAATGTTAAAGATGAGGCTTGCGAACACCAAGTTTCATTTAAACGGGACATCAAATATGAATAGGGAATATGGTATGCAAATTTACTTCGTTTCTTCCCCGATATCAAGAAATTAGCAAGTGCGGGAAGATACTTAGTAGAGATCAACATGCAGATTCTGATTTATAGTTTCTAAGCTTAAACAAAAGTTGAGTTGTAAACAGAGGACAGACATTAAACCTAAACAATGAGAACTGATTTCTCCCACAAAATAACATTTAGAAAATGGCAAATTTAATCTTCATTTGAATCACTTGAGAAAAATACTTTATATCATACTAACAACGAGGTCAACTTGAAATCGGATTTTCATGAGTTGTAACAAGCGGGGACACACTGAAGAGGCTGCTCGAATTGCTCTATTGACAAACGGCTATTCTGACTTAAGATCTTGACTAGGAACATAGTATGAGCTTCCATTCTGAGCACCAACAATTATAGATTCCTCTTTCAACTGAATGACACCAGCAATGAATATTGAATAGTTAGCAGAAGAAACGAAATAAAACTCTCAAGATGGAAGACATGATATGTGATTGCAATGCAATAACTAATGAACGGAATGTGAGGCCATGTTCAAAGCTATCATCTTAAGACTCTTTGGAAACAACAGAATTAACAGTTTAAGCATTCAAAATTGTCTTTCAATTATTTATGATGATTGAATTGATGAAGCCTGTCTTTCAATCAAGCTTTGTAAGTAACATTGAACGCTTAAACATAAAGATATGTAACTTTTATCCATATTCTTACCCTTCTCCACCAAGGATATATTAGTAACTTCAAAAATAACTCTTTTTACACCGACCAACTCACATTCAATATCAGTGTATTTATAGATAGACTTGATTTTTCATTTGCTAAACAAAAGTTTAAACGATGCCTTGGCAAGTAATAAAGGATGCACAACAAAAGAAGTGAGCAACTTACCTTCCTTAGAACCTTCTTATGGAAGCGATAGCCCTAATCACACAAGAAATAAAATTTATTACAGGAGAAAACTATTAGCTGATAGCATTAGATCAAATTAAAAAAAAAGAAAAGAGGAATCATGCATTGTTTGATTACCTTGTCAGTGCCATAGATATAATCACAATAAGTAAACACTGAAGCAAAGTTGCTCTGGCTTTGTCCTCCAACATAATGATGGTAATCATGGTAATCTGCGCCGCCATAAAATGGGATAAATCTTGTGGGAGTCCAAGGAAAGTCGTATCTGCATTACACAACTTATACTGTGAAATGCCTACTTTTTGCAGCAGAAAGCACTTACTAGCTTCATTAAATATTACCAAACAAATTGCATTAAGCCTTAGTACATAAGCTACCACTTCCAAGTGTGAAAATAATAGGTTTTTTTTTCATCTCCATGTTTGTTTCATCAGTCAAAATCACTTGCCTATCACTCAATGACCAACTCTTAAGAGGTTACTAAATTCTTGGGAAGAAAGTTTCTAATACCAAAGTTGTCAACTTGATAGTCATTAGATTAACTCTACAGATCCAAACAAAACTACAAAAGTCTTAAATTCAAAAGTCATGATATCTGGAAAGAAGTGAGGATAGACATTTTAGCTTCCCTTTTTCTTTTTTCCTGCAGGCAGGTTTTATATTGAAAATAAATCTTATACACTAGCAAACGATGAAAAAAAACTGCAATTGCCTTACTACGAATTTTTCACCAGAATAAACTCAAAACCTATTTATACCAGATTAAGAAAATAGTCAGACATTAATGGTAGATTGATATGCATGTGACTTTTCTACTATATGCTTTGACACAGTCATTATTAACAAAAATTCAGCACTCATCTTCTCTCTATGAAGCTTGATAGGATGTCAAATACCAGTAGCTTCTGCTTTAGTTATTAACTACAATAGCTTCCGTCCATAACTCCTACAATGAGCTCCTATATCAAAAGTAATCATGGATATCTTTGGCAGCCCCTGATAAATCTAGAAAATGAGTAAATGACCACTCTTCATCAGAACAGAGTGGTCGTTGGCACAGCATAATCACTTTTGAACTATACTTTTCATTTCTTTATCTTCATTTTGATCAATACAAGGACATTATGACATTTTTTCACGATTTCAGCTAAAATCTAGCCAGCAGATGTAATAGTAGCACAACACTCAAGCTTTGATGTTAATAGTTGCAAAACACTCGAGCTTCGATAGCAACAAAATGTGGTCAAACTATTGGATGCTAAGTCAGCATAACACCAGGCTAATCTCCATCACACAAGAAGGGATGGAAAGGAGAAATTTCCAAGAAAATATGATTATAAGAAATAATCAAACTTCAAAATGCATGGTATCTTCAAGCGACCAGCTAAATCCCTTAGCTACTTTTAAATTTCTCATGCAGAGTATTTAGTTATTAAATTTTCAAAAAGTGAAAAAGGATTACCAAAAATATTAGAAATGGATTAACCTGATGCCAGAATAACAGTGGCAGGCAACAAAAACCATTTAACAGAATAATTTATCTTAATTTTGATAAATGAGTAATTTATATATGCTCAGAACATTGTATTCCACATTTTAAGTGGTTATTAGTAGTAATCCCCTGCAAACAAAGTTCAATTTATGAAAAAGAATGTAGGCTAAAACCGAAGTTGAAAAGAGAAGACATGATCCTAGGCCGCATCAAGGAAAAGTTAGCCACTGTTGAAAAATCCTTCAAACCCAAGTACCTTGATATAGAAAGGAGGAGAGAAAAGTAATGAAAGAAATTCTAAAGTTGGCATCATTTGGGCACAAGAATTAAAGCAATAAAGGGCAGTGAACAAATTGAAAATTTTCAATAATATAAAAAAGCTTAGTTGTAGTTGTAGCATGCATACCCACTGTGTGTCTCTATTGCTTCAATTTGCCGTAAAGCTATCCACAACCAAAATGTGATCATATGCCCTGGAACAATTGCTGGCCCAAGAAAAGATGGAATACCAAGGATCAAAACTTCCAGCCAATGGGCGTATGGTGCAGCAAACCCAATTGGAGCAGTGTATTCATGGTGAACCCGGTGAATTTTCTCATAGCCCCATTTACCATGCAGGAATCTGTGAATCCAGTAATTGGTATAATCTTCTATCATGAAATATACCGTCAACTGTGCAAGGATCTCCCACACCGATGGCAGTGGCAACCCTGTTCGAATCCCAATCATCTGTCAAGAAAACACATGCAATTTTAGATACCTATTGATAAAATTACCCAATTGATAAAAAATAATATTACAAAGAACTTCAAAACTCCATTGTTTAAGCACGAAGCTGCTAGAAAAAGACAACCATGCAAGTGTGTTAGTTGCAACAATCTACCATATAAAGATGTATAAATAAACAGAGAAATCTCAATGTTCAAATCTCCAATAATCATCACTAACGAGAATAAGGAATACACTCCCTTCACCAGGGAAAATAACTTAATCGTTTAGAAAGCTTAAAGCTTTGGAACTAAAACAGAACAGTGAACATGAACTGATCTGTCTGTCTTTTACAGTTCCAATTCTAGTCCTCTACAAAAAGCAAATAAACAAATGATTTCCTAAAACGCTAAAATTTCTCATAAAGGACTCATTCACAACGATTTGTACTAAAGCTGAAAAATTAAAAAAAAAGAAAACTTATTACGCAACAATTACGCATTCAAAAATAAATTTCCCAGAAAACTAATCAACAAATTTCAAGAAATCAATTCTCATCATCCACCTTGATAAGACTCGAAATCTCATTAAGCCCCACATTATTTAAGCCCCAAAGATGAGAAAATCCCAAGAATTAACAAATTCCCCACTATCAATAAATCACATTTCCAAAAACTCAGACATTTACCGAAAATGACATCTAAAAATCCCAACTTTGTAATCAAACTCAAACGTTTAAAAACAACCCAAAATAAAAATCCTAAAAATTAAAGGACTTTTACCTTAATTGAAGGATAAGACACTAATTGCAAAGGACCCACAACGAGAATAAACATCCGCATAACATCTTTATAACACCTGAACATCTCAGACAACGACAGTCTAACTTTGGGCTGAATCTTGTACTTATCGAATCCCAAATATCTCATCATCTCAACGAAAACAAGCGGCAAAGGCACCAAAGAAAATATCAGAAACAAGAACAAAATATTGTGGCAATAAAGATAGTAATCCGATTTTTTAGCCGAATAATTGAACCACAATGTCTCCGCCACCGTCAGGTTTCGTCCCAGGAAAGCAGTAGCCTCCTCGATTGTAATAAATGGCAACATTTTTAGTCTTGCGGCGGTGGCAGGTGGTGGTGGTGATGTGAGGATTTATTGCAGTCAAAAAAAAATGCAGGGAATTTTAAAGGGAATCAGCTCTCCCTTGAATGAATTAATGAAGAGTTCGGGACTTTTGCTTATCAACAAAGTGGCAATTCTTTTTTTAGTGGTGAGGCCGTTGTTTGTTTGCATGGGGAAGGGCACCAATATTTTCTTTTTTTTTTCACGGGAGAGCTGGCATTTTTTACTGTATTTATTTTTGTACAGCGGAAATTAATGCTCATAATTATTAATAAATGGCCTGAGCTCTTAAGTAACTATCATGATGTTAGAGCTGATGTTTGAAGATTATTATAGAAGTTTATGCTCATTTTTAACCAGAATTTTTTTAATTAATTATCAATAAATGAATAAAAAATATGATTAAATTTCATTTAACATTATAAATAAAAATTTATCTAATTTAATTATCTATTAAAGCATATTTAAAATTAATAAAATAAATAAATGTGATTACAATTTAATTTTTATTTCGTGAAATTTAAAAATCATGGATGAACATATAAAACATAATCCATGTATATTATATACAATTTTAATAAATAACAATCTATTTATTAAAAAAAAAAAAAAGAACAGTCAATATTTTGCATTGCATGCTAATAAAATTTTTTTTAATGTAATGGTACTTTTTTTTTTTGGCAGGAGTCTACAATTGGTTGAGGAAGACATTGTTGTTCAATTATTGTTTGTATTTATATTTCAAATATATATTGTTTTATCGAATGATAGTAAAAATAATTCTTTAAATTTGAAATAATAATCTTTGTGGCAAAAAATTTCATTCTCTTTCTAATACAATTAATAATTTTAAATAAGATGGTTTGAATAAAATTCTTTCATTGAATTCAATATTGAGGTGATAATTAAGCTTCCATTTAAAATGCTAAAAATTAGTAATTTATTTTTTTTTTTGGAAAAAATCAAGTGAGAAGAAGTTATTTTAATATTTTAAGATCAAAAGATATTAAAAAGTTAAATGATTATTAAAATCAAATTTATAAATTGTTCATTAAAAATATTTGTTAAAATTAAATATTTAATATTTAACAACTCCATCAATCAATTTGACATTTTAATTTGTGTTTCTTTATAGACATAATTGTTTTATATGTTTTGAGAAAAGCTTTGTATTTAAAGACTGCATGGAGGGAAACGGGGGTCCGATACACAGTTCGACTAGTTAGAATCTTGTCCTCTTCTCCAGGTGGCGAGAGTAGCACGTGGCCTGCCAGTTGGTTACTGCTTTTACTGCGCTCCACCGGGGACGAGGTACATCGTACTCGTGATTTTTATTTTATTATTTTTCGGTAAAATGTTTTATATTTAATATTAATCACATAAAAAAAAAAAAAAAAACCCAACATTCCCACAAAAACAAACTAAATAAATTATTATTATCTATGATGACGCTGTTTTTGGTGATTGTGAGTTGGTGGGTGACATGGGGATTGAGTTGGGACTGAAAGGGATTTGCAGCAAAAAAGGATGGTCATAGGGAATGAAGTTTATTTTTCGAGATATATTTCAATCCTCAAATTAGACAGATATCAAAGATTCAAGAAAAATAAGATAGTACCCAAAGGAAAACTTTAAGGTGAATGACCTAGGAGGTTAACATCGTCGTATTTAATGATTTGTGCATTTATATTATTTAAATTTAAAATTTTAAAATTATATTTTATATAAAAATTATGTATTTTAATTTATATAAATATAAAAATATAAAATTTTTTTTATTTTATTAAATTTATATATAATTATTATTAAAATTTTAAATTATATTATTTTTAATCATATTTATATCGTATTTTAAATTATCAATGTGAGATTTTTATTTATTTTATATAATACAACGATTGAGTGGTGATAAATTTAAGATCGACTATCATCGTTAAAAAATTTTATGTAAAACTTAAGAAAGATTAAAGTAAGTACAAATTACATTTAATGTATTTTGATCAATCGTACCTTAGATTTAATAATTCTCTGTAAATTAACCCGTTGTGACATGTTAATGTGGCGGTAAGAAAAGTTTCAACGAATAGATCTTGTTTGTCGAGAGAACCTTAATGGGGCGAAAATTTTGGGCATCGAATTTCCTCAGTGCTCTAGCAGTTGAGTGTTCTTGCAAGATTTGACTTAGTTAACCGGGTGATTGGGCATAACAACCTATAATAAAAATAAAAGCTTATTCATTTAAATCGAGTGACAACAAATATAATCATGAACATTAACTATTCAAACAAAACATCGGAATATGGAAGTAGTAGGTGTGTTTTATGGAACTCCAATGCACAGCATTTTCTCTTATGATTAGAGGATGCTTCGTAATTTTTTCCTTTTCTCTTTATGAGAAGAGAAAACTATTGAATTTATATTTTTCTATTATATGAAATGTAATTAATAGATTTTTCCAAAAAAATGTAATTAATTGAACCTATAATTTAATTTAATTAATTTACATAATCATCTTTTAAAAATAATATTTAATGCATATAAAATTCAAATCTTAATACCTATAACATTTTTCATATTTATATACTTAATGTATTAAATAAAAAGTGTAACTAAGTACAAAGAGGAATGAATTTAATATAAAATTTTGTAATTAAGTTAGTATCTATCATAAAATTTAATTACATGACTTTATTTAATATTCAAATTATTCGATTTTACATCAATTTAAATTAAAATTTTAAAATAAATAAATTTTATATTAAAATAATTTGTATATTATTTGAATTTAAATATGTTAAAAAATCAAATTATTATTTTTAAATTAAATCAAGTTAGGTATTTGAGGCAATTATATGATTTTTGAATTCGGACATTAATAGCAAAGCAACAATTGTATGAACAAAAAATTATTAATAATAATAACAAAGTAACAATTATAAATGATGAGTTGGTGTGAGACAACTTTAACATTGGGAGAATATGCTAGTCATAGGAATTGGAAGGCTGTAATAATTAAAAGTTGTTCATCCAATAAGGAAAAGGGCAAAAGCTAAGGTGAAAGTCATGTTGTGCTTATCTTTGTTTTCATAACATTTCTTGTTTCCTTTTGATTGTATCCATAGGAATATAGATATTTAATTTTGCAAAGGGTATAAGGAAGCATGAGCTTCCTAGCGTAATAAGTTCCCATGGAATTCTAATTCCCTTTCTCATCATTAGTCATTTCACGCTACTTCTTTTACTTTTTAGTCATTGTCCCTAGCATCCCAATGATTGTTCAAATCGATTCATTATTTTTTTAACGGTAAATAATTTTTAGATTTCGATTTTTTTTTTCAATTTATTTTTGAATTAATTTAAAAAAATTTATTTATATTAGACTTAATGGTTAAATGTTGATAAAAAAACAAAAATGACGACAAAGGATATAAATAATAAAATTTTAAAGAAAATTTTGTTTATAAACTACTCAGATTATTAATTACATTAATTATCAATTTTATTATTTTTCATGACTAATTAACCATAACTATATAAGTCTGGGAGCTTGGTTGATGTTGAAAAATAAAATATTGCTTATCCGGGCGCGGGCCGACTCCAATCCCAATTAGTCTCCGAGACTAGATAAAGTGCAAATGATGTGAAAAGACTAAAGAGTGAGTTTGAAAAGAAGCAAAAATGGTCTCCACTTGGCGCTGTGCATGGGTCTCTGAGCCGATTTTATCTCACTGGCATCATGCAAGTGGCCAGATGATAAAAGTTTACCAACTTAGAAAGTAGAAAGAAAGGCATGGCAGAGCAGAGAAAGTTACTTTTATTATAAAAATTCATAGTTGGATTTAATGCGTATCAAAATCCAATCATGCGGGTGGACCAAAGTATAATTCACTTTGAGGGCAAATGGTTTGCCCCCTCTCATCAGTGGCGAATGTCGATGATGATGTGATGTGTGGAAATCATTTGGTGTTTGGACTCTCACACAGGGAAAAAAAAAATGCTCCTCTTCTTCGTTTTCCATAACCATAAGCATACATATGATGAGTCTGAGTAAAATTTTGCTAACTCCATAAACCAGCATGCGAGATGAATATGCTACTATTAATCGGCACGTTTTTGCCTCAAAGGATAGCTCATGATCACTTGTAGCGCTCGTAGTATATATATAATTTGTGGCTCATATACGAAATTATGTAGTATATGTGTTTCCTAAACTTGAAAACCTTGAAAAACGTTTCTAGTCAAAGGAGGTCCCAGCACTATTCGCGGGGTTGAAGTTGTGATGGAGGGTTGCAATTGTATCCACTCATCATGAGGAGGTCGTTGTTGGCCAAAACCTCTTTCGGTGCTGGAATTTTGACAGGGCGGCCCGTAACCTTTCCAGGAAGAATTAATTACTGCGCATTAATTGTTTTTTCAATCCAATGCCGTGGACTGTGATCTTCAAACTCACTGACAATAATTTTTTAACTTCGCAAATATTAGTACTAAGTTCCTACAACGCAACAACACTTTTTGGGTATTTTAGTTATTTTTGGGTAAAGTAGTTATCTTAATTATTGTTGAAGTTATTTTTGGGTCTTTTAGAAGGAAGGAGATGATGTGAGAAAGGAAGAAAGTAGTGATTTGCAGTTAGAAAATACAGTTTAGTGTCAAAGTGATTATTTTAGGGCGTGTTTCGATACTTAAACCGATATGATGCTTGAGATAGAATTAGGAAGTGACGGAGAAGCTGAAGTTGGTGAAATGTGTGTAAAAAATTTTAATGAACAGAGAGTTTAGAGGATGATTGGTTTAGATCGTATTGTCTTCAATATTTGATTTTTCATTTACTTAATGTTGAAATCAAAGACGATGACTTGATTGAAAATGTTAACAGTTGATAAAATATATGTAAAATTTGTAGATGATACACCAATGAATGATAATTTTATTTAATGATCATAAAATATGAATCGCATTTAATAATTTCAAGTAAGTTAAATGCTAATGAATTAGTTTTAAAGTAATCACTTTGACAAGTTATTGGTGAGGTTTTGAGCAAATCCTTTTTATTTTTTTTTGGTGAAAGGCGAGTTATCCTTTTAGAACAGATAACACAATTGCTTGTGCCTATTTCGTTAACCCAAAAACCTAATTGTATTGATAAAGTTTTGATCGTTGATAACTTAGGCCTAACATTTATAACGTTGAATATAAGTCAAAGTATACTTTTTTGGAATTATTTTAATATATTTTAAAATTTTATTATTAAAATTTTATTTTATTTTAATTAACAAATAAAATAATTATTTTATAATGTTAAAAAAATAAAATAATAATTTTACAATATTAGATTGCTATCACAATATAACCCATTTAAACAAATTTTAATATAGAATTTTAGATTTTCATACTCTACCCCCGTAATTGAGTCTTAGGTAATGTTTAGATAAATATTTATAAAGGAAAGGAAAGGAAAAAAAAAAAAAGTTTTTTAAAATAAATGAAATGATATATGTATTCATTGTTTGAATAATTAAAATTAATAAAAGAAATGAAAGGAAAAGAATTTTAACACCTATTATTTGGATAAAAAGTGAAAAAAAAAGAAAATAATTTATTATAATAATTTTTTTCAATTATAACATCTTATTATTTGTGATTTTAAAGCACTTTAGGATCATAATATGTTTACTATCTTGTATGATTTCACAATTGCTGCTATATCAGTATTTTTTAATCAAGTAAAACAGAAAAATAGTTTACAAACACGTATTGTAAGTTTTTAGCCATTGTTAAAATTTCAGCATACTATCACTTTGACGATGTATTTATATAAAAGCTATTAAATATAAAAAAAGTAATCAAATAAAAACATTACATTTCATAAACAAAAAAAAAAAAATGTTTATTCATATTCAATCATTCATCAAAATCAAATCATCAAAAAATTATAAAAAAAATTGATATTAGAAGAAATATGTGAAACTTAATTGAAAAAATAGATGGCTTTGAAAAAATTATAAGAAAATTATGACGTAATTAGGTTTTTTTTACTAGGTTTTTAATATTAATAAAATAATTGATATAATAATCTTTTATAAAAATACATTTTTTTTTTAACTTTGCTTTCTTTAGCTTTTCTCTCAAATTGAAATATTAAAAAAGTGAAGATTTCAAGGAAACTAAAAGTTATTGAGTTTTTAATTCTTTTTTTTTTTTAAATTAAAAATTTATCAAAACAAAAAAAGTTTTTCTATTTTTATTATTTTATTTTATTTTATTTTCCTTTCCTTTTCTTCTCTTCAATTCAAACATAGTGTTAAGGAGGGAGTTGAGAAAAAGGAATAGAAAATAATTATTATAGAGGTTTGAAAAAATTTTATACAATATATGTTTTCCAATATAAGAATGTTGGTTTTATATGTTTTCCAATATAAGAATGTTGGTTTAAAAATTTTTCTAAATAAAAAGTAAGGCCGAAGAGTCTAAGACCCAAAGTACAAAGGAACAACTGGGTTAAAAGCCCAATCTCTAATGGGCTGTCTTGTTCTGGCAAGGTTTTATTACAGGCTCAGACCACAGGCGGCAAAGCCTTAGAAAGTTTACAAATCCAGGAAAAGGTTTTCATGGCCTAAAGCACTGTTCATTATTCATTCCAATTTGCAGCCCATCATAGAAACTGGAAGCCTAAAGGCCAAAGCCCCCAACAAAATGCGCCGACTGCCAAACAAGACAGCAATGATCAACAATGGCCGCATGAAACTGCCAAATAAGCCTTGAATTATTTCACCCCTTTTTGCAAAACAACAAAGACATTTGAAAATGGACTGGACTTTTATTGGCCAATTCTTTACCTCTTTATTCATTTCTTTTTTTATTATTTCTAGTTTTCTAAAAATTTAAACATTTGACGGTATAGTCTCAAGCAAAAATATTAGTTATAGTTTTATTTTATATTTAAAAGGAAAATTGTACGATTAATGATTTTGGGGATGAGGTGCTTGACGGGGGACTAGACTCGCTAGTGATTTCCACCTGAGAGTAGCGAATGGTGAAGGCGTGATGCTGTAAAGTTAAAACTTCAATAGAAAAGTCCTGGATATACCCGGAGAAAAAGGGGAAAACATGAAAAAAAAATTCAAATCCAAGACCATCTAAGAAATTATAGAGATGTCAATTTTATTCATATTTAATAAATTATTTATTTTTTTATTTGAGTGATATAAGTATGAGGAGAAAATTATATTAATCGGATAATATTATTTAAATATGATCCAAGTATAAAAGGTTTAAGTACCAGTCATGGATGAAAACAAGTGAGGTAATATCCATCCCAACTTAATATCTGATATATATATATATATATATATATATATATAATTTTTTATTTCTGTCTCTTTTATTTTTTTATAATTCAAATAATAAATCTATTATGAAAATATATAAATTACAAAAAAAAATTTTACAAACCACTTTTTTTTTATATATTTTTAAAGAATACTTTAGTTTGACTACGTTATTATTTAAATAGCACTTTTATTATCTTTTATTTCTCCTTTAATTTACTACTTTTATTATTATTTAAAGACCAATTTTTTATGCTTTTAAGAATTTATTTTATTTTTGTTGGTTTTGTTACTTAAAAAATAAAATTAATTTTTAATTAATTTTACTGAGTTGCATGTGTGATTTTTTTGAATTATTTTATAATTTTTTTAAATTATAATCGAATATTTGAATTGTTCATAACCTGTCAAATACAAAAATAGACATACAAAAATAAAAATATTGCTCAATATTGAATAGGAATAGGAAAACGGATATGAATATCTAAATCGGGATAAGAATCAAGAGTGTCATATCCAACAAGAATCAGGATTTTAATTTTGTTTGGGATCGTTTGGTTCACACGTCATTCTAAAGTTAGATTTAGATTTTAAAGTATTTTCAATAGTGTGCAATTAAATTTATTATACTAACAATTGAAATCAAATATTAATTTTAATAACATTTTATTTAATATAAAATTTTCATTGAATTAAAAAAAAAAAATAATTTTAATTTCATCAAAATCAATCTTACCATTCATCTAAATAAAATATAAGAGCAAAGATTAGCCATGGAATTAATACCCTTTGCCGCTAATGGACCGACGCATGCATATGGCTGCTATTGTTGCTACGAAGCCCGCAAATTGGTTTCCACCATTGGAAAAACACTCTTTAATTGGGGAAGACGCATTCAAAAATGCTAAAATTGTAAACAAATCCCCTCAGAAATCAGAACTCCCTTGGCGCAGTAATGTTTTGACACAACGCAGCTTCGTCTGAGGCGTGTGAATCTAACTATTCGATGCACAAAAAGAAAATTTCATCTGCGTCCCAAATAATTAATGTCAACATTTTCTAATTTCTCATGGAATTATATTAACTACTGTAATCGATGCAGGAATGTAGACATATTTCTACCGCAATATTTGAGAGAGTTTAAATTCATGAATTTTATTAGTAACATACAACTCGTATAGTTAAATAGTTAATGCACCTATTAAATATCATATAATTAATTAATTGGTAATTATATATCCATCTACAGACTCTTTACATGTTCACATGGATTTGTAATTTTGATTTAACCTGGAGAAGAGCACCATATAGCATTTTCTAACGGGTTAGGGGGCAAGAAAAATTAGCTTAAACTCGATCTAGGTCTAGGGACAGTCCCAGAAATAAGCAATTTCCTGGAACTTTCGCACGTCCTTTGATTTATGCTACAGAATCCTAATACTTTCAAAACAATCGTAACGTAACTCCAATATTTCCTGCCAACAGATCAATTCCTACTTACAAAGGAAAGCCTTCATTTTTTGGTTTGTCCTCAACATGATTCCTCGTTCTCCAGGTAGTCGGAGACTTAGCTCCTTCAGGGTTCTGTCAACCTCCGAGAGATCAGTACAGACGTTCCCACCAGAACATCATTCAGACATCGTTCGGCAGCGAGGAGGCCTCATCGCAGTCCCAGCAAGGCTGAAGACGTCGCAATCTGTGAGGTTTCCAGCCGTGAATGATGGAATATCCCTAAGGCTGACAAAGTTATTGCTGAATGTGAACATAAAGAGTAGCTTGGGGCCAGTGCATGTGGTGATGTTATCAGAGAATACAGTGAATGATTTGATCAAAGCTGTTATAGAAATTTATGTAAAGGAGAAGCGAAGGCCATTGTTGAAGGAAACTGATCCTAAATTGTTTCAGCTTCACTATTCTCAGTTCAGCCTGGAAAGTAAGTTTCTTTCTGTTTTCACATGTTCTGTTTTCACAGGTGCTCTGCCCTACAAACTTCATAATCATGCCGTAGTTTGAATTCTGAACTTTAAATATTCCTTCATTTGTATGATTTATTGTCATTATTATATTTATGCGTATACACTGAAAGCAAAACATAATTATAAACAAAATAGATGGCCACGCCTTCACATGCAAAGAATTACAGTTGATTCATTTTATATGGTTGTTTCCATAGTAATCAAAGTAAAAGAATGCATAATAAGCTGTATTTAATGTGGATAAGCAAGCACTGTATAAAAGAAAGTGGGAAAATATTGATAAGCATTTACAATTAGATGTGTAATTTTGAAAATCATAACTATTGTACTTATAGAGGATTTGAACCTTCTCTTTAACAAAAATAATAATACAAATATTCGAATGATAAAAAATAATGTATTAATTATTCATATATAATTTGTACTAATTTGTGTGGTATGTGCAGGTTTAAAGCCAGAGGAGAAGCTGATAAATTTGGGGTCCAGGAATTTCTTTTTGTGTTTGAAGCCTTCTTCCTCAGTCACTTCTTGCGGCTCCGACAAGGCAAAGATGGCATCCGACTCTCTGTTTTCTTTTACAAAGTTTATCGATTTCTTGCTGTAGCAATGTATGGACATTCATGTCTATTGTCCTTTCCAATCATTTATAATTAATGTTTCTTTTTTTTTTTTTCATATTTAGATGGCACGGTTCTAAAAAAATCAATTCAGTAAGGTTCTAAAATAATGGCAAAAAAGTACACTTATTTTCCGACCAAAATATCACTTTTTCATATATATATATATTATAGTCTAAGAGTTATATATTTTTATGAGTTTTGTATCAAAATTAAATAAAAAATTATTTAAATCAAGATAATATTTTTAAATTAAATTTAGTATTTTTGATTAAAAAATAAAAAAATAGTATAAGAATTATATTAGTAAATTCCTGCTATATATTTACACCAAAGCATTGAAATAATAAGATAATTCGTATATTATAGATTTCGATAAACTTGATTCAATAAAAATAAAATATTTTTAAAAATTTAAATTGGGACAAAACAAAACAGATTTTTATATAAAAAATAATTGGAAGCAAGTTCAGGGTACTCTTTTTGACCTGCCCAAGTGTATATAAATACATATTGTTATATAATGTTTTATATTTATATATTATATTAATAAAGTTATTATTTAATAATTTAATTTAAAAAATCAATCTAATAAAATATTACATTTATATATAATTAAAATATAATTTATATTTAAAAATAATATTTTTAATTAAAATTATTAAATTAATTTTGAATTGAATTAAATCAAACACATATTATATTTGTGTTAGGTTGAAATTAAATATAAAAAAACCTGATATTACATTGAAACAAAATCAAATAAAATTATTAAAAAATAAAATCAGAGGTTGGGATGACAAAATTCACTTGGACCCATCTCGGTGCCATCATTAGACAACACAAACATAAAACGACTTGAAATTTGGTTTTCTACAATTTCATTTTTTTTTTTATTATTATTTGAGTTAAACGGTTTTTTCATATTTCATTATTGTGGTTTGATATTAAAAATGGAAATGAAAAATAATTTAATTTAGTAGCCATAAATATATTTGGTACTTTGGTGGCCATATATTTGAAAAATGCAAGCTTTTTTTTTATTTAAATTTTATAAATAAAAAATTAAATTTAATAATTTATGTATTTATATTATGTAAAATATTAATAAATTATATATTTTTATTATATTTTATATGATAATTCAATGCAATAATTTATTTTAATATAAAAATATAAAATATATTTTTTTAATTTTTATTTAATAAATTTATAATTAAAAAAAAATTTAAATCTTATAAAATTTATATATTTGTTTTATATCGAGTCACTTGTTTTGAGTTATCAAATTTGTATAAAATATTTAAGTCAGTCATATTTAAAAAGAAAAGTTATAAGTATGGAAATAAAAAGTTACAAATAAATTGGCAGTGCAACATCTTTCCGTTTAGTCTTTTCCCATAGAAAGAAAGGAATGATTTTCCTTTGTATGAAGAATACCATTCTTGCTTTGATAAAAAAGTGTAGAGAAAATCCAAAGGAATATATATCTTTCTTTTCAATCAATAAAAGAATGTAACAATTCACGTGTTTTACAAAACAAATTTGGTCAAAATCATTAATCTCTAGTATGAATTTTTTTTTTGACTTGGGTAATTAAAAAAAAAATGCAAATCACACATTTTAATTTAGTTCAAACATTATAAAATTTTTTTATTTTTCCCAAGTAAAACAGCGAAGAAGTTGTAGAAGGGTTGAAAAAAATCTTGAAGTCTAAAAGTTTTAAACTCAAACGCTACTTTTTGTTGGCTACTTTTGGTCGGATCTCTCAGAATTCAGAGCAACAAGCCAACAACCTTCCTCGTCTCTTCCTGACGGGGGCATTTATCACCCAGCATACTCAAGTCCCAGTCTCGCCCTGCTATCGTCTGGCCTTTATCTTATTATCATATCCAGGGGAGAAATAGACGGGATAGGAAGAGGGAGAGAGAAAGAGAGGCATGGGAGATCTCTTCATATGGCTTATTTCTTTCTTCATCCTCATTGCCCTTCTCGTTATGCTCGTTTATCAGGTCAATTCCCTCTTGAACCCTAGATTCTTTATTTTTTTTCCTTACTGGGTCTGCTTGTATTTTTGCTTTTATCACTTCTTTTTGCTTTGAATTATATTATGCTTTGTTATTAGCTTGGTGGGTAATGATTGTTTAGTTGATACTTTTTTTAGTTGCAAGAATATCACTTAGTAAACGCAAAAAATTTTGTTTTTGTGTTGATAAAAGAAGAGAAGAACTACTATTTTTGGAGTGCATTTATCTGGGTGTGTTGAATTTTGTTGTAAAAATTGTGTGTGGGAAGTGGTATTGTATTTTTGTGAATTATCTTAGAAGAATCTAGGGTTGAAGTTCTCATTCCTGGAATACTGAACCCATTGCCCTCTGATTTGGAGAAACTATTGGGGCTTTCTTTTGGATTTTAAACATAAAAAGAAGTTTAGCAAAAGAAACCCTTAGCTCATTAGAGACGTTATTGTTCATCTGTAGATTCTTCTGGTTATATGAGAACTGAGAATGGAATTTAACAGCTTGATAATTTTGCTCCAGCTCATGTGCTTGGCTGATTTAGAGTTTGATTACATCAATCCTTATGACTCTTCATCACGGATAAACAAAGTGGTCTTGCCCGAATTTTTCCTGCAAGGATTTTTATGTTTATTCTATCTATTATCGGGGCATTGGGTCATGTCTCTGTTATGTGCTCCATATTTATACTACAACGTGAGACTGTAAGATTTTTCTTTTATCTTCTTATTCTACTTTTTATTATTAGTGTAATCTGTGTTAAGTTTTCACTAGCTTTGGTTGACAGTTAATTGCAGGTTGCTTCACTGCAGCTCCCCCTTATATATTGAACTTTGCTCCCTATGTCCAGTAGGATTTAAGCCCTTGTCTGGTTGATCAATCCTATTTTTCCAAGAGCTTGTTTGATAATGTGAATGATGAGTTGTGGGCCGTGTGGCTTGAAAGATTTATATCTTATAATTTGCAAAGACATGCTTCAATGGATAATTAATCTAACTTAATATAGGTAGAATTGGAACTTTATGAAAATGGAAATTTTGTTCTATGCCTACATTTTGCCAGTATCCCGAACCCTGTTGTAGTTACTATGAGTATTGACAATAGCTAATTGTTTGCATTGTTTACCTTTTGCCCTGTCTTAGGTTAAAGACTCATGCTATGAAGCAGTGAGTGTAAAGAAAATAGTAATTTATCTGATAAATGTAATATGTACCATGGCCAATGTTATATCAATTGATGGAAACAATAGAATGCTTTAGTGATCTTCATGAGGGAGAACAGAATAGAAGAGAGGGGAGGAGGGGATTGGTTGGCAGGCATAGTAATTACTTTCTGTTTAATTTCGTCACAAACAATTATCAAAGGTCCCAAACAATATATCTATCGCTTCTGCCAAGTTTGATGGATTTGAGAAGTGCATTATGGTTAAAATTAGCTTTCTTTCCTCTCTAGCCATTGCATGCAAGAGTATTGGTGTTTTGCAAAATTATAGTTATTTGTTTGCTCTAAATTAAGTTGTGTTTTATCATATTGATCATGGATCAGGGCATAGCGACACCTAAAGCATATGAAATTTACTCCTTGGGGAAAAAATTGTATTCTGTTATTAAGGTTTATAATTAGCTGAGTGCTGTTCCAATTGTACATTATTTGGGCCGTTTTCCTAACCTTTTCTTGTTATCAGTTACACACGGAAACAACACCTGGTGGATGTGACGGAGATATTTAACTTGCTTCATTGGGAGAAGAAGCAACGCCTTTTTAAACTTGCCTACCTCGTCGTTCTTCTCTTTTTCTCCATATTCTGGTTAAGTTTTTTTTTTTGAGCATACACAAGTTGCTCCCTCTAGGCATGTTGCTTTTATTCTTACTAGGTGCTAACATGGGAACTTTTATATGTATTTGTCAGGATGATCTGGTCTGCATTAGAAGATATGGATGATTAACGGGGGAGACCTGCAGCTTTCATAACCTCAAGTTTTTGTTGGTCTTAACTGCTGCCGTGCATCGGGTGTTCACATTGTTTTTTATTGCAGCTTCTGTCTGTTGTAACTGATATTAGCATAAATTCCAAGGTTGTATGATTGTCAGAATTTCAGTTGATTTTCATTAAAAATATTTTTCAGCTTCGATTTGCTCAAACAGTGAGCTTTTTCAATTTCTAATTTAACAAGAAAAAATTCTGCGTTCCTTCTTTTTTTTTTTAAAAAAAAAATAGATGTTTGCCTTACATTTCTTCCTATTGAGAATTGAACTGGAAACGCTTAAAGCCTGGATTGCCATTGTATTTCTTCTTTTATTTTCTTATAGAAAAGCCAAGAAAATGGGAAATTGACAAAAGATGGTCCTTTCTTAAATAAATGTGGATATGAAACCTGAACTGACGTTTAAAACAACACCGTAGAAATCAATTAACTTTCAATATTATGAAATATGTTTCATTTTTTTTGGATCGTATATCCCGTTGCATAGTACGAATCTATGTTTAGGTTTTTCAACTTCATTAAGTATCATAAGGATCAGGTGAAAAGTGAAAAAAAAAAGGGTTACATCGATTCGACCCGACACGACACAAACCATCAGCCGCCTAACGCCTTGTATTTAAGGTTCCAAACCATTTTTAAAAACGCAGCAATCTTCGCTCCCTCGGCTTCCAACTGTCTTTCCATTCTGTTTTTTGGGGAACGTCTTCGGTTCATAACTTGATTTTTCGAATCCAATCTTCTTTGGTCGAAAAATATTCCAACAACCTGTGTGAAAACTGGATTTCTATCTGTTACAGGTCAAGGTGCTTTGATTTTTGGCTATTAGAGAAGGGTTTCATCACTTTCTAAGGTGTGAAAGGAAAAATTTTCCTTTACATTGATTGTGAAGTTTGATATTTTATTAGGATTAGCCCGACTATTGATCGAACAATCTACTGATTTATCACTGCAACAGAGTATATATTGAAGTGAAAGTGTAACACTTGGGTATTTCAGTATTTTTTGTTTGACAAGGAGAAACACCCAATAGGGCAAGCATATTTAGGATCTTTTGATTGGTTAGACACTTGAGATTGCAAGTCCAAATGGTTTAGATTGTGCTCATTTGAATCAGCCTTTGTTTGTTAGATGTTGGTTCATACGCTAAAGAGCTTCTTAAGTAACCAGCTAACAATCAAACAGGCGAAACAAATTCATGCCCAAATCCTTATTAGCAGTCTTAACCACCTTCAGCCCCTCTTTGTTCATCGGTTTCTTCTGTCAACTAGTAACTACTCTACAATTGCTTACCTATATGTGCAACAAATCCTTTATCATTTGCAAAAGCCAGATGCTTTTTCGTGGGGTTGCACAGTAAGGTTTTTATCCCAGCATGGGCAGTTTGAAGAAGCTTTTTCTCTTTATGTTAAAATGCAGAAGCTAGGGTTGTACCCTACCACACATGCTATATCATCTGCTTTAAGATCGTGTGCTAGGACTGGGGGTAAAATGGGTGGAATTTCAATCCATGCTCAGGTTCATAGATATGGGGTTTGCAACTGTGTTTTTGTGCAAACAGCTCTTGTGGATTTGTATACGAAACTGGCTGATATGGATACAGCAAAAAGGGTTTTTGATGAGATGCCTGAGAAAAATGTGGTCTCATGGAATTCAATTTTATCTGGGCATTTGAAGGCTGGGAATTTATTAGAGGCTCGGAGGGTTTTGGATGAGATTCCAAAGAAAAATGCTATATCTTGGAATACAATTTTATCAGGGTATGCAAAAATGGGAAATATGGATCAGATGCTTTTATTTTTTCAGCAGATGCCTGAGAAAAACTTGGCTTCTTGGAATACTCTGATTAGTGGTTATGTGGAACATGGAGAAATAGAATCAGCTCGGAGCTTTTTTGACATGATGCATCAAAGAAATAATGTTACTTGGATCATAATGATTGCTGGGTACTCTAAATGTGGGGATGTCAAATCTGCTCGTGAACTCTTTGATAAAATGCGTAAGAAAGATCTTTTAGCCTTTAATGCCATGATATCTTGCTATGCTCAAAACAGCCAAGCAAAGGAAGCCCTAAAGTTGTTTGACGAGATGCTTACAGCAGGTGTTGGTATCCAGCCAGATGGAGTAACTTTGGCAAGTGTTATATCTGCTTGTTCACAACTAGGAGAGTTGAGATTTGGTTCATGGATTGAGTCATACATAAATAAGCTTGGAATTCAAATGGATGATCATATGGCTACAGCTTTAATTGATTTATATGCAAAGTGTGGGAATATTGATAAGGCTTATAGCCTCTTTCATGGTCTGAGAAAGAAGGATGTGGTTGCATACAGTGCAATGATATTGGGATGTGCCATCAATGGTAAGGCTGTTGATGCCATCACGTTGTTCCAAAGAATGGTGGATGCACATATTCAACCAAACTTGGCTACCTTCTCCGGGTTATTAACTGCCTATAATCATACTGGCCTGGTTGAAGAGGGCTACCAGTGCTTTAATTCTATGAAGGACAACGGAGTTGTGCCTTCAACTGATCACTATGCGATCATGGTTGGTCTTTTGGGCAGGGCAGGGAGATTGGAAGATGCATATAAGCTTATAAAGAGCATGCCGATGAAGCCTCATACTGGAGTTTGGGGAGCTTTGCTTCTTGCATGTAGCTTACATGACAATGTTGAGTTTGGAGAGATTGCAGCTCAGCATTGCTTTGAGTTGGAGCCTGGTACAGCCGGTTATTATTCTCTCCTTGCCAATATTTATGCTTCGGTTGGGAGGTGGAGTGATGCCACAAGATTGAGAAAGAATATGGAAAGGAAGAAGCTGGCCAAGGTACCTGGCTGTAGCTGGACAGAATCAGCTTGATTTTTCCACCATTGACAGGAGCAGCCATTTACTGCTAGCTTAGGGGCCACCAAACTCAGAATATGGCTTGGGGGTGGCAAGTTGATACTGAATGTGCAGCTCCAGGCTTCAACAAAGTGCATTGAGTACTGCATAATTTGGGTACGAACTACAAGGACATTGCTAAATCTCAATTCCTTTTATTCTGTACTCTACAATATGTCCTCCAGTGTTGCTTAAAATTTTATGTCAAACAGGAGATATAGATTCTTCTTGTTCCTCAATGGTAAAGGGAGATACAGAACAACTCCATTTTCACCTTATTTTTTCTGTTTCTTTCTTTTTCATTTTTGAGGGGCAGCTCAATATAATGTTTCTTCTTCTTGGTTTCATTTAATTAGAAAATGAACCTGACTTTTAATTCCCAATAATTCTGAAATGAAATTCGTTATATATGATGCACCCCTATGATATAACTATGCTTTGCTCTTATTCTGTAGTGGCCTGTGTAGCAGTTCAGATTTTAAGGTTACTGAATCATCATGGTCAGTGCGACTAAAGGACTGTTCATTTCCTGGTAAGATAGATATTAATACTATACTACTATATTTTAAGGTTTCAATGTTCAATTCTTGTTTCTTTTTGCCCCCTCTACTTTTAAATGGCAACTTCAGCTTCACTTTGAACATAACTATGAGAACTGTGCTGTTTCTAAAGGCCATGATTCGGTGCTAGGAATCATACGAGTATATCGATGGATCTAATGGAGGGTAAAACTATCCTGTCTAAAGTTAATTGCATGGCATTTGACACTTGGTCATTACTCATTGATGAAAATAATCGAAAGAACTTGATTGGCCGTCAGTTTAAACGTTTAAAATAGTTGCATGGTAAAGCCCTTGTTTGTTTCTCATCATTGCCCTTTTCTCTGACTTCCTTATTGTAGCTAAAGGATTCTGCTCCATTACATTTTACAGTGACATTTCCACGGCACAATTCATCGTCAATTTGAATGCTTCATTGCCAGCATCGCAGAAGTTCATTACATGTCTTAGATAACACTCATTCTTTCGTGTAACCTGACGTGGCTGAGATTACGAACCGTATCTCATTTCAGAGACCAGAATTCCTATGAGAAACCATCTTGAGCTTCATATCCCTTCCTTTTCCTGTTATACATTTCTTCTTTAAAGGAGTTAAGACATGAAACCCAAAAAAAAAAAAAGGAATTTCTATGCACGAACATGAGCAATTGCTGACTCCCCCCACCCCCCCACCCCTTTTTTTTTTTTTTAAATATCAGATCCTGGTTTAATCCAAGGCTCTATTTGGACTCAGATTTTCTATTCAAGTACAAGTTTGGCTATTCCAAGACCATTTCTAGGCTTGATCCCACGTAAAATTACGATTTTTATTTTTGATGATTATACCAGAATTGAAATTGTTATCTATTGAGCCGAGGTTTCATATACCAAATCAGACGGTCCACATTTCACGTTTTAAAAAACTATAATACATGATTTAAATTTTAACATACTTCAACCAAAAATAGAAAAGACACTCTTTAACAAATCAATGCCGGATTTAAAAAGCACTTAAAGAGCAACTTCATTTTTCTCTACCCAATTGAAAAAGTTATATTGCTTAACATGAACCATCATCACATCAAGTGGCTCCTATATAAAAGAACGGATAGCGATTAACGTGCCTTCAAAATACATGAAATAATTTTGTAGGGTTAATCATAAGTTAACCAGGTCCAGGAAACAAAATATGTACCTCCAAGAAAGGTGGCCAGGATACATTCTCTAGCTTGTATCCAAGATCGAACAAGTAGAGGGATAGCTCATTTTGATGAGTAAAGTGCTGCTTCATCAGTCAATTGCTCATTGCATATCCTGAAGTTACCCTGTTTTCAAGTATTAACAATGCAATTTAGAACTCCCGTACCAACCAACATTTCATATTACTTGAGATAACTAAAAGTTTGATCTTCCCCACAAAGACAAAGACCCATTTTTTCTATCAACCATTTTTCTTGTACATATATCTAAAACACAGATCTAAGCGATCATAAGAACAAATGGCACTCCTGAAAGGCTTGTTTCCAAAGGCTTCAGTGCATGGTATTTAAAGAACAAATAAAACGAAAAGAACCCAAATAAAATAACTCCATGATAGGCGCTAACCAACCATCCAGAATCTGTTGTTACCTCAATAATCACTAAAAGCTTGATAAGGAATCACAATTCTGTAATAAAATTTGGAAAGCTCAGATCAGACTGGTTACCTTTTTGTATCCAACCAAAATGAATTGAGGAAAAGTTTTGGAGCCAATTAGATCACCAAATTCAAATGATGGTGCCCAGTTTCAAGTGCCCAACTAACAAGAAAGTGGTAGGAAAAAAATGAGAAAAGTTACTACTTAATTGCATACAGAGAGAATATAAGCAGAGAGAGTTTAACAGTATTATGATTAGGCCATCAGTGTCGAAGCTATGGTGAGAAAGAAGAGATGAGACAAAGAAAAATGATAAAAAGATGCTACTGATTTAGCAGAACATATGTCCTTAGGCATGGGTGAATGACAAAATAGTTAAGCGCTGCAGATCAAGCACAAGATAATGTTATGAGGCAAGCACAAGATAATGTTATGAGGCTTTTACCAAATGTAGTTTTATAACATGAACAAAGCATGTGAAGAAAAACAGTAAATTAGAAAACCAAACAAGACTGATCAACGGCACATCGCTGATCAATTACCCATAAGAGAAAACTCACCTGTAGATATGCATGAGAATGACTGAATCAATGGAAAAGCCACTGGAGTGATGTTCATACCTATTGAACAAGACATTTATAATAACAATGCCAGCTAGATTCAGGGTAGAAAACGCTAGAGAGGAAATGTGATATAGATGCTGAGTGCAACGATTTTTAGGAAGTTATATTTTTTTATCGAAATCAGAATGTAGGCTCACCTATAAATCATGGAATCACAAGCCACATAGTGATGCAGTAATTAAATTCTTTCTTGACTTGCTCAAAGTGCAACAGCTGAATGAAGGTTCAATGTGGACATCTATAGAGTCCTATAGATAGTAGCACTACTTGTTTAGAGGTATATGCAAGTTTCCACCATAGTGTTCATCAACAGATGCCTGGAAGAAAAGATTTTAGCATAGAGAAACAAACATAACATCAATAAGGACATACCTTGGAAGTCAGTTTATAATACATGAAAAATAATGAAACTTTGGTAAAAATGAGAGATGGCTTAATGTATTGGAAACTCAAGTGCTAAAAATGTGTTCAATTTTCCAAAGCACAAATCCTGTACAATGGCAGAGCCAACAAAATTAAGAAGCTGGTGATTGTCATATATGGGAGAATTACACTGTTTTCCAACTTGTCATTTATATGAGCTCAGTCACTCCAGTCACCAAAGGGAATAATACAGTTAAATGACATTGAAGTATACATGCCAAATCTGTCAGAAACTTGTAACAACATCAGAATCAAACCATTCTCAGCCGGACAGGTATGTGTAACACTGTGGAACAGACAAAAGCATAATAGCCAGGTGGCTATTTCTTATATTTCTGTATTCCTCTGTCCCTTAATAAGGATGAAGAAAGGATGCTATTGGGAGTTAGGTAATAATTACCCTCGGACTTTTGATTTTAGACAACTTTTTTCAGATATCTCAAAAAAGAAATAAGATATTTATAAGGGAACAGAGGGATTAATAATTCTTTTAGTTGGATTATAAGTTCATGACTTAACAGATGAAATCAGCGGACTATAAGTTGTGTTGTGTTACTGTAGTAAAATCAAACTAAGTATAAAATCAAAACTCTTATCATGACAAATTGCCGCACCTTGTGAATCTCAGTATATTAATTGAAAGAATTCTCATTCACTTTTTGTTATAACAAACTATCACAACCATCTTCAAACTATGTACAGAATTGTAAAATGAAATCCTTCAAGGTAGTCAGAAAATACAATTAGAAAGGCCCAAGAATGCCAAAAAATGGATAAATAAATGAAGATGTTAAACAGTGATTGTCACCAAAAGCAAACAAATAATTTCAAGTTAGAGACAGGAGAATAGGAATGCGAAGTACTAACCTGAAGGTGGGGAAAGACTAAATTGTACACTTCCAAAAAAAATTCTGACTTGTTACTTAGCCTGAAACAATATTTATGCTTCCATGAATATTAGATGACAAAAGGTTAAGAAAAAGATGACAATGAATCTAATAATTTACAGCACTTATGTATTAAACAGCATCCTTTTATGTGAGTATTAACACGTATTCACTGTTAAGGCATTCTAAAGACAACTGATCATAGTAAATCAGTTCAAAGATCACTCATCCATTAATCAATGTTTTGAAACCAGATCAGTTAGCCCAAAGGCCAGCAATAGTTGAACTCAAACATCATTTTGATGTCTTAAACAAAATGATAAATATAAAATCTAGAACGAAAAAATATAAAACTATATAATAATATACATAAATAAAGGGACAAGGACAATAACAAAATTATGCAAGAACTTTTATCCTCTTCAAAAATGGACAATCTCAACAAAATACAAGTACATACCTTCTTAGAAGACGAAAACAAATATAGATCTCCTCAATATCTACTACTATTTTCAGTTTAATATACTCCAAGAGAAGCTCACTGAAGCTGTGAACAGCTTCATTCCAAGTTCCACATCTTGCATCTAAAGGATGTAGGGATTCAGCAACAGTGCATTGCAATATCGAAGATAAACTCTCAGCTGACTTTGCTTTGTAATACATGTCAGCAAAGAGTTTCAATGTCAACGAATTGCTGACTTTGAACTTATCAACCCATGGTGGAGGATTTCCAATCCAGAGATTGTTGCTCAACCCAGAATCAGTTGATCCAGGTTGATTGCCAGTAGTCTTGATGCCTAATGGATGATGTACATTTTTGGTGTTAGGGCCCAGGGCAGAGATTTCTTGCATCCTGTGTGCAGGAAGCACCTCAAATAAATCAGCTCTCAATTCCTCGGGCAACTGCTGTAATACTGATGTGTCTACTTGGCTTAGAGACGAAGGCATTAAATCATTATTTTCAAGTCCTGGAATGGAAATGGCAACACTATTGGATTCTGCTCCAGAGTCAGGCACTGTCTGCAGTTCCTCCAATATATGTTGTTTGTCCTTTGGGGAAGAAAGAAAATGATTATCAATGATAAAACCAAAAACATTTTTTGAACAAATTATAGGTGAACATAAAGTCATCATAACCATAGGGAGGCCAACAGAAGAAAGCTCAAATGTCGGGACTGAATCAGTTAAGATAGAAATAAAAAGATCTGTATAGCTTTATTTATCTTACACTAAAACTGCGACATGTACGTACATGTTAAACTTTTTTTTTTTTTGAAATCCCAACTACCCACAACTGCTATCTCTCTTTGGTTTTCTCGCTTTTATATTTTAACCTCAATAAATGTAACCTAAGACTAGTACTGCCTAGTTATCATCATTGTTTTACAAAGTTTTAGCTGAGATAGGGACACTTTAAACACGATACAAAGAATCAAAAAGAAAATATCTAGTTTGACTTAACGAGTTACCTTCATTTCCACTGCTGTTCCGCTCAATGAGAAAGGATTAGAGTTGCAAGATATTTCTGCTTGCTCTACTGCAACTTGGTGAACAAAGCCAACACATTTGTAAGGCACTCATACAAAGATATTAAATGATGTACTTAAAGACCAGGTAAGAAAGTTTCACCTTTGGATGGCTCAGGAGGAAGGAAGCATAAATATCCGGTGTTATTCTCACTTTGTCCTTTACTTTTGGCAATCAAATCAACTAGCTTCCCACCATAAATTTCATTTAATTCTGAGAGGAGCTCTGATGGAAGACTCTCCACTACTCCCATATCAAGGTGACATAACAGTGGGACACTTGAGATCTGGTTTGAACAACCCTCACCGTTGGATGTATTATTTGTCCCATGAACAGAATTCTCCACTGGAGTAAAATGGAAACTCTTTAAATTTCCAGCCATACTCTTTACTTCAGAATCTGCAACATGGCCATAACAGGGTAAGCTTAGTTTCAGTCATCTTAAGCGAATCAACAGCAGAAACTACAAATTTTGTCACCCAGAACATGGGTTTTGGCATATTAGACAAAGAATATTTTATTAACTGTTTATCAAATGAAATATTAGTAGCATGCTGGTCTCTATCTGGTGCAACAATGAAAGATCTTAGGCTGACATATTTAAAGAGTACATAGTACTCTGAGTTTTATGATGACAACGATTAGTGTACTTAAGGAAGCAATAGTTTGAAATTAGCCAACCACCATGCTAATAAAATCGAACCACCAAAACAAGGAGGAGAAAAATGCATTACCTTTGCCAACCCTTTCTTTGGCTATACTATTGATATCTAATCGTTCTTTTGAGCTTGCTGAGGCAGACGTTAGCCATGATTTCATAGAGTTTCTTTCAAGCACTTAAAATCAATAAACACAAAGTTCAGTCAGGAAGAAATATAGAACAGCTGCAGCAATCAGGAATAAAAAGGTCATCTGCGCCATTTCTATGCCACCAATAGGCACATGATAAAAATTTAAAAGCATGCATAAGCATAATAAAGAGTACTAAGCAAGTCTATTCAAGATAATGCAACACATACCTTGCCTAGCAGTATTTGCACTTTCAAGCCTCGAAACTTGCAAACCAACACCACGGATATCCTTGACATCTATGCAAAATCAATGTAAAAGATCACATAGAATTAGTTTGAAGCCCATGTTAATTCATCAAGTTCTAACAGTTCCAACCAAAAGTACCACCTAAAAGCTATTTCCAGAGGGTGTACATCATAATTTTCCTTACTTTAAGAAAGTTTGTTAAGTGAAGTGCGAGTAAACATGGAATAAACATCAAAATTGTGCATCATAATTTTAATTACTTTATGAAAGTTTGTTAAGCAAAGAGAGAGTAAAAACGGTATAAACATTACAATTATTTAAAGAGATTTCAGATCTGCTTTATGATAGAGATTCCAAATGTTTTTCATGGCTAAAAAGAAATGACATATGCAGAATTCTTCATCCCCACCATCAATGTATGATCCGTGAAGACCATGTTACAACCAACTTCTACAACATGATGCATATCTAATCACCATGTCAATGGAAGAGCTGTGAGGGCCATTTTCTTTCAATAACATTTACCATTATTTAGGAAAAAAACTTGGCCAATAAACAAGAAAAAATGGTCAAAAATTGAAAATAAACAATTTTGTTCATTTACCAAGTTCGCCACTTAACAAAGTCAATCAACCTCACTAGTTTCGATATAAGGTCTACATTCATGCTTGGAATCACAACAAGCTTATAAATTACATTCAAGCTGAAATATCCAGAGGTAAAACCAATGGCAAGGATCAACTTTCATAATGTTCTAAATTTCTCAAAGCTGACATACCTATGTGGAAAAATCCAAAGAGCTGCTTTGTTATTCTTTGAAGCACTTCGACATCATCAGTAGCAAGTGGAACCTATTGTAATATTGGGTATCATAATCCTCAGAAGTGATACATTAATGGAAAGTGTATATGCACATGTCTCTCCATTCATGCTTACTAATAGCAGTGCACAAACAGGGTAAGCAAGGTGCAAACATATATACAGGCCAAAATGAATAACATGAACTTACGTAATAGGGGAAATGAAATAAATGGCTAATTTTGTGCCATGCTTAGAACGTGAATATTGTGCATTTACATAATAGTGCACAAAAAACCCATGTTACCGTTGTGCTATGGCTCAGGTTTTCACAGTCTCCACAGCCCATATACTTTACAGGCTCTCCGGCATCTTTCCTTCTCCTTTTTATCTAACATGAGCATTAATACACCAGAACATTTCCAATTTAGTGCAGGCCTTGGTACATTCTGTTATCTTAGATTATCTTCTAGAGTAACTGAGAAAAAGAATATCGCTAAGCTCATTTCAGTAAAGTGATACCTTATACCAACCAATATAAAAAAGAAAGTACCTTAAGGGTGAAAGTTCGCCCTTGCACGCCACACCCCTGCAAGCGTAATGAAACCTCCTTGCAAAGGTCTAAGAGAAAGTGCTGAGTCTGAAATAATTGATTAACAATATTTAACTCAGCCATAAAGGTGAAAAGAAAGTGAAAAGACTACCATTGAACCTTTATAGTGCATCAGACTACTAACATCTTGCAAATCCCTGAATCTTACACCCCAATTCACTTCAGCCCCCACAGACTTGCTCTCCTGCAAATCACATCAACAGTAAGCATGGCAAAGAGGAATAAATTTATATGCAGAAATACAAAGGTTCATAAAAAAATTTTTAAACATGACCAGTCCAATATTATTAGACAGGAAAAATGAACTTCTATTCCATCAAATTATAGAAAAGATATGAATTTCTGCACGATTAAAACCACTTTTGAAATGGTATTTCAAGCATTCACATAGTTAATAATTCTGTGCTAGAAAAACTTGATAAGTAATGATACAATTATCAATAAAAGATAACACCAAAATTTCCTTCATATCCTAGAAAATTAGTTCATTGTTCTATTAAACTGGGTGGAATTTTAGAATTAGAGATAGGGATTTCTCATTACATCCTACTCAGAGGAGCTTCGATAGAGACATCTGTTACAAACTCATAACCAACTTAAAGCTCATTCAAGATTATGTTTCAACCAGTGAAATAACAGCAAAGTGATTGGCTTAATACAAGAAAACAACTGTGTATGTCAGATAGCTTGGATATATGGACATGACCAGCAATGCAAATGAGGATCCTGTAACATGTGCAGGGCTATCACAAGCATGAAGTCATGCAATTTTTGGATTAGAAAAGTATGCAGTTGGACAAACCTGAATCATGCCAACAAGCCGATTATCAACTCCTCTACTGTAATTCCAGAGCATCTCGCCAGTTTTAATCCCAAAATCCTTTTGAAGGGAGTCCTGCAGATGCAGAGAGGATTTACACAGATGAATATTTCACCATACTGAAACTTTAAACATTGCATGGGACATGAACTCTTTAAAAAAAAAAGTCATTTCTAATTTTTGAGATAATGATCTATTCAAGCTCATTCATTTACCCATACTTACAAATGTAAAACAAAGATTTTGATTACTATTCACATTAGAAAAAGTAACTTGACCATTTTAACACAAGGAAATAAATCATATTTCAAATGAATTGTAAAACTACCTTAGAAATCATTCGCAACTGTCCACAAGTTCGGACATTTTTATTTTTCAACTTTTCCTCCAGCACATGCCCTATTCCTGGGAGTGCTTTTATTTGAAGTTGATCTAAATACTCATCAACCTACAAATGATTAAAACACTGTGGTAAGTAAGGTAGCATGTGCTTAAGATGCACCAACTCAAAGATGTTTTCAAACTAATGTTCACAATCCAATAAAAACAAAATCACATATAGGTAGGAATTGAGCCCAATGTGATCAGTTCAATGCTATCTATGATAACAAGTATTTAACCATAGAGTAAACATATCTATGCTAATATAGAAAGATTCAGTTATCCTTCATCAAGCTCCTATTTAGTTTCATCAAGATCCTTTCTATTTGCTACACCGCTCAAGAAAATTTCAAATTGATGTCTTAATCCATCAGAAATACTAAGGGTTTATTTTGTAATTATACACTGATTACAATATATGACACTCAATAGTCCGCATGTTTATCTCCACAGTTAAACAAACTGGTCTTCAAAGCAATCTGCTTCTAGTGCAAAGAGCCATCGTCTTTTTCCACCTCTTCTTTTCTTTCCATAGTTATTGGACTATTTCCAACCCCAAAGACAACGTCCTTTAGCTAAATAGTCAGTAGACATTAAATTTTCTTTTGTACATATCTAAGTTTCTGAATAATCAATATAACAAGATTATCGGAGGATGCTTTGTTTACAATGAGTATAGTTGGTAAAAACAATAGCAAAATTGAAGAAAATAAGCATTCATCAGCCACAAACTCAATCAGGGATTATTTTACCATTTAAAATTATGTGCATGATAGTTATCATCCCTAATATTAACTTTCTTTGATGTATTAATATATACATCAAAGAACACGACATTTAAAGTTTTCTTTAAGTAATGGTCAATATAGTACAAGAGAACACAACATTTAACATTATTAATATAAAACAACAATCACAATACTTTAATACATATTTTAGTGAAAAGATCTGTTGAACAGATTTAATTTACATCCAACAAAAAACGGATAATGAAGCAGAATGAAACATTGGATCCCAACCAAACAGCATGATTATTACAACACAATAACATAGAAATCACAAAGATTTAAAAATGACAAATGTGAATTAACTGAGCATACCCTCTCGGGATGGATGTAGCATTGACCATTTGGTTTAGCAGTTCTTGTGGCTAGTCGGGCCATAAGCATATTCTCAGCAATCCCAGCACTTGCAGTGCATCCAGTAGCTTTACATATCTCTTTCCGTATTGCTGAAGCTAAAAGCTGAGGATCTTTCCCTTCTAGGTCTGTGACATCTAAAAATGCTTCATCACAGCTGACAGCCTACATTCAACAATAAATTCCAATGTTAACAATCATAAAGGCTTTTCTTTTAGAAAAAAAAATGGACATTTAATCCAATACATTCATAAGCAGACCTGAACTCTTTTGCAGTGCTTATGCAATATGTTGTAAAACTGATCAGCAACCTGCATAATTCAAATACATATGAAAAAGCCCACAAAGGAGGAATAGTAATCAAAAAATTAAAACGGTAAGTCTTTTCCAACAATGTGGCGTTAGAAACATGAATTATATTAACTATAGTGCTTTATCTAGGATTATATCCTTAGTAAGATCAGCTAATTCAAGGTCCTTTATGATAGTTTTCAATCAGGCCTTCCCTGATCTTATTCCTCCCTCTTTGGCATGCACATCCTGTGCTCAATAGGGAGTCTAACAGCTTAATCACATAACAAGCTTGCGATTTACCTCCTCATATGCTTCAAAGTTGTATGGCAAAATAATGAGTTGGGGGCAAAGAGCCTTGGCATCTCTAACAAACATTCCTGCCCTAATTCCTGAAGCAGAATAAGAGATTATAAATCGAATGCAGAATAAAAACTCTAAACCAAAATATTACAGCAAAAGGAGAGATATAACTAAGATAAAAACCAACCATAATCTCTAGCAGGATAATTTGCAGAAGAGATTTCAGCAGTTCCTTTTGGATTGTCCGAATGGCATACAGCTACAGGCTTGTCATATAATTCAGGATGGCTCCTGATGACCACTGAGACAAAAAAACAGTCCTGAAGCAGCATATTAGTGTTAATCCAAAACCACAAGTACAGAGGAGAAGAAAAGGTAGTCCATGTAGACATCTACAAGAATTGCATCTCATCGTAAAAGCCCAAATTCCCACCGTACGCCATTATCAATTATGAATACAATGTATGATATTAGAAGAGAAGGGATGGACCACAAAAATTCATGGTTAAAAGCTCAATTTACCATGTCAATATGGATAATGGAAGTCTTTTGAGTACCAGCTAAAACATCAGAATGAGACGTCATGCCTCCATTTGACAAGCAGGGAAAACGTTTACGATATCTATTTTTCCAGGTTCCTATGAAATGTAGCCTTGAATTCTGCAATAGTTAAAGAATGATCAAGATATAACTGATGGAACAATAAATACGACACACAGACACACAGCACATATCCAGATATGTATGTATGCATGCATGTCATTTCAAAAGGAAGACAAGAAACCATTTAAATTTCAGGCCATGAGAAAAGCAGTCCAGTGGATCAGTTACTACTATAATATTAACAGTTCAGGGGAAAAAATGACCATAAACAAATGCTTGACCAAATATAAGATAATGGGCTAGATGGGTCAACAGGAGCAAGTACAAACTTCATAGGGCACTATGACAACCACCATGCACTAATCTACAGAATACACTTGTGATAAGTTTTTAAAGATGATGAGCTAATTCAATTAGCCATTTTCAAACAAATAGCTCCATAAAAAGTTGGAAAATTTTTTATAAACAGAAAAGAAGGCACTAATCACTTAACGTAACACCGGAGGATTATATAGAATTAATACAATATGGCACAGAAATCTGAGAATATGCAATCACTAATCTATTCAATACCTTGAAGTAATTCTCCACAAAATTGGGATCCCCAAGAGTTGAATTTTGCGGCTTCAAAGGTCCAATGGCTATTGACCTTGGTGATCCTTTAATACTGTGATTGTCAAAGCAATGGCTACTAACAGAAACAGAGGGTTGTTCAGGACAGGGCTGAAGTCCATTGTTTTCTATGCTTTTATCATCCTCATCCAGATTACTTAATTCTACCACTTTTACTTTCTGAGATTCTTCACTGTTGCTAGCACTTGGCCCATCAGTTTCAAGTTTTACTTCACAAATTGCATTTGTAAAAGCACCTTCATCTGCAGGGTTGCTTTTTGGAGTGAAGAAGGCCGACAATGTTGGTTGATTGTTAGCAAACTGTTCAAGCTGGTAAGGAACCCCTTGAGAGAGCAAAACAAGATCCGTAGTAATTCAATTAGATGGTAAAGGTAATAACTCATGGTATCCATTAAAAAAATAATAAAGACAAGGAAGCAATAATATTTTTAAAGCTTGGCCAGCAATAACAATTCGTTTGAATTAAAAGAATTCTATTCTAATAATATCCCTTCAACAATTTATCAAAACCATTTTGCTATACTTATCTCATCAACTACAAAACCATAAATTGACAATCCATTTAGGGCATTAACTTACAACTCAAAAGTCTGTTACCAGCAACAGAATCTAGAACCCAAGTAGGTTTCACTACTGGGAGTCCACCGCTGAAGGACCTGCATACCAACAATAATAAATAACCCAATTTATAACTAAAATCCACTTTAACCATTCTAAGCAAAAGGAAAGAAAAACAACAAAATAAGGAATATGAACCTGCGATTCTTGATTTTACTGTCAGGAAGATTGCTGCAGATGATATGCGTGACACGATGCCTGGAAAAATAATTCTCAAATCGTCCACCATAATTCAACATGTATTGCCGTAGTTCCTGTGTATCTCATCATCAATATCAAAAAAGTTATCACAAATTAAAAGTCATCGAAACATACAAATTGTAACAAACAAACCCAAAGGTAAGTAGGTAACAGGGAATGATGGGAAAGAATTGAACCTGACTAGATGGAACAGTGAAACCGTCAACGAAGATAGAAACTCCGTGAAAGATAGGCTTCTTAGAAGAATCAGCTTGAGAAGAATTTGAAGCCTCGGCGTCAAACTGATTTTGAAGCTTTCTATTCTTTTCTATCATATAGCTACAAGAATAAGAAATCAATAATTAATAACCAGAAATATAATTCAATTGTTGAAAAAAAGAAAATGAGAAGAGAGGGAAAAGATGGAAAAACCTTCCAAAATCAGAGAAAGGAGAAGAGCGAAAAGAGGAGCGGGAGGAAGAGAGAGAATTGGCTCCCCAAGCCATGCCTAGGGTTTTCTGGTTGCTCTTTTTCTTCTTGCTATAACTGTTACTGCTTGAAGAATTTGAATTGAAGCTTCTTTTCGAATTTTGAAGGGTTGAATTCGCAGAGCGAGAGGAATCCATACTCATCTTCCTGGAATAGGAAAAAAAAACAGTGCTGAAGAAGATTGCTGTGGTGGTTTCAAATGAAGGGGCAATAACGGACTCTCCCGCAACGAAAAAAGATCTGTGCCGAACCTATCTTGGATTTTGTAAGATCAGGTCCAACGGTTATTGGATCTTGAAAAATGTCCAAATATTGATTTGGATATGGGTCGGTCAAACTTGGGGTGAGCTTCACGCCTTATGAAAAGATCTGTGTCGACTGTAGAACGTATCTTGGATTTTGAAAGATCCGGCTCAACGGTTGGTTGCTTTAAACCGTTTTTGGATCTTGAAAGATGAATATGGGTTGGTCAAACTTTCCTTGGCTGGGCTTCAGGCGTTATTGGGCTTTATTTATAAAAATAAATAAGATATGCTAAAAAACCGAAACTCTGTCGGTTTACAAGGGGCAGCTATCTGGTGGTCCCGTTTACATGCTTTTTTTAATCTAAATCTAATCCGACTATTAGAGATTGCTCATGAATATATCTACAATAGTAACGGCTCCATTAGATCCTTGCTAAATCATTGTCCCTTCCCTCAACCTTCTTCTTCGTGATAAAACTCTCTTCGTATTATTCAAATTCAATCCCAAAAACAATAGCAACCTCACTCAATACAAATTTTCATCATCAGCCTTCTCTCAGGTTCTATTTCTTTCACTGTGTAATAAAATGTACGCTGTCTTTTTATACGAATATATGAATTGGGTATTTTGTATTTTCTTCTTTTCTTATCGTATAGTTGTGGAACTAAGCTTTACTCTGGTTTGAAGCTTCAATCTCCCTGTATGTTCATTTCCTTCACTCTATAGTCTAATCCCACTCTTATATGTACCCTAAATTTTTACCTTTTTTGCTAAATTTTCATTTTTCAAATGTTTGTTTGCAAGTGGGAGACCAAACTTGAGTGCAGACTTCTATAGCAGAGTTAATAAGAGCCTCCAATGCGGGTAATTAGTCTGTAGTTTGGAGTATTATTATTAATCATCTGTTAGTATTAGCTTAATCTTCATTAATGGTTTAAAGGCTAGTTTCGAAACATTGGCTTGTGATTGGAGATTTGGAGTTGTTCCTATTTAGTTTGATTATGTGCTCTCTAGAGCAATGTTGCAGTTTATAAATTCGAATTTTGGATTTTACAGTGTGCTTCTTGCAAGTAAAACTTGTATGTAACTTACTGAATTTTATTTTTGGTTCCAAGGAAAAGAAAAATGGCATCTTTTAATGATTATTTTTGACAATTTTGACAATTTTTTAGGGGTGTCCACTTATGATATATATATATATATATATATATATATAACACTGCCGATAAATTGACCAATATTTACGATAGAAAGGATGTCTAGAAAAAAATTTTGGGGTGTCGAGGAAAAATTTTCCTTTAAATTTTCTTGTTTTCCAATTTTTTGGGGTATCCAGAAGAAAATTTTGGGAGTGTACAGAGGAAAGTTTTCCTCTTAACTTTTCTTGTTTTCTAACCATTTGTATCCGCCACTGTTGATGACTTATTATGCATCTGCTACTTCTGCCTGATTTTTGTTGTATTCTAGTTACTTATTTTCATGGAAATAGAAGTTTATATGACGTAGTCTCAATAGAATAAAAGACGAGAACTCTGAATTCAAGTTTCCAATTATTTCTTCAAACATCTTGATGGTTATACGTTTCTTTGTTTGCAGAACATGCAACCGTAAGCCAACAAGGTCATGAGTTGAGATGAGGCCTATAGGAACTCCAAAGTTCCCTATAGAGTCCATGGTGAAGGAACTTGGCAATGGGTTGATTTATGGAATGCCCTAGCGAGTGATGTTAACTAAGTTTACATTATAAGAATGGAGAACCTAGTTAGAAACTTAAAAGATTGTAACATGTATACTGTTTTTGGTAATACGTGTAGCCAATGATTCCAATGTACACTCCTTACACTTTTATGAACTTTCTTTTACTGTTCAGCTGTAATACTAATTGCTTTCAGTTTTCAAAAGTGGTTTGATAATCTGTTATGGTTATACCCTTGGCATCTGTGCTAGATTTTGTTTATTGAATGAATCTTTTGTTTTCTTGTAATTTCAAATCAGCTTTAAAATCTGTGTCCTTCTAAAGGCTAATGACATACTTTGGATGCAGTACCGAGAGCGAGTTATCTTCATCGGACAACGTATAGACAAGGAATTTAGCAACCAACTATTGGCAACAATGTTATACCTTGATAGTATTGATGAAAATAAAAGGCTTTATTTTTACATTAATGGTCCTGGTGGAGATGAAAGTTTTCTTTTTTTTTTTTTTTAATTTAAAGCTTTGCTGATGTGTATATATATATATATATTATTTCTAGTTTCTTATCTCTGGTAACTATCTGATATGGACTGGCTCTGTTTGCAGCTTACTCCATGCTTGGCTATCTATGACACCATGCAAAGCTTGAAGAGTCCTGTCGGCACCTGCTGTGTAGGCTATGCTTACCATCTAGCAGGCTTCCTTCTTGCAGCTGGGGAAAAGGTAATTTTCTCTTCCCTTCATCTAATTCTGTAAACTTTCTGGTGTTATTATTGTGAGGGAATGCTATTAATTCTTGTGGCATGATGTCAAAGTTATCCCTCAAAATTTTATGAGTTTTACTATTTTTTTTTTGGTTATGCTGACCATATAGTGATTCTTAAAATTTTCTTTTATGTTGGTTTGAATGTAAAGCTAGCAACCAGAAAATGCTATCACCCCTGATTGGGTTGCTTTTCTAACCATTGATAGGTGCATCATTGCTATCTTGTATCCTACCACTAGATTGTGAAATTTATTTTATGCCTTATGGTATGCATCTGTTGTTTAAAACTGTAATTTGAAAACATTCTCTTCTTGCTTTCTGCTGCCTGAAGGGTAATGCCTCTTTCAAGAATTGCTCTGCAGTCTCCAGCCGGTGCAGCTTGTGGTCGGGTATGACTGCATCCTATCATTGTGAATTATATTGAACTTTTCAATGTTATGATTTTAATAACCATGAAATTATCAAATTTTGACAGGCTGATGATATCCGTAATGAAGCAAATGAGCTTCTTAGAATCAGAGATTACCTTTTCAGTGAGCTAGCTAAGAACACAGGCCATTCTGTTGAGAAGGTGAGTATGTTAACAGCTTGAGCTCATATATTTCTGTTTGATTCATTTCAGTATTTCTAACTTCCCCTTCTGCACTTCAGATTGAAACAGCTATTGGGCAGTGGCTAAACAAAAACATTCAAATGAAATCTCCCTTTTGAATATTTGTTTGCCCGTCGCATAAAGTTCGTTTGTTTCTTTTTTCCTTGATTGTTGATTTATTCATTGTTTTATGTATCGAAATGGAATCAATAATGACTGTGCACATGTAGATTAACAAGGACTTAAGTAGGATGAAACACTTCAATGCTCAAGAGGCTTTTGAATATGGGTTCATTGATCGTATAGTCAGACCTCCTCATGTCAAGGCAGATGCACCTCGTAAGGATGCAGGAACAGGCCCCGGTTAGTGTCCTTTATTATTTGCTCATCAAACGGGCTGATAGCTGTAATAAATTTTTGTATGTTTCTTGAGTTTATTTGGACACTTTTAGAATTATTGGCAGTGGAACATTAGTTGTTCCGATGGCAATTAGAGAGAACAGCTACTGCCACCTAACGAGTAACATGATGATCAACTGTAAATCGACAGACAACTCAAATTATACCATGAGCTTTTACATTCCAGAGACATTTACAGATAATACATGTCACTCTACCCTGAAATATCATCTACCAGAAGATATGAAGCCTAGTTAAATTTGCTTATAATATCCCATTAATAACATACTTTTTTTTTTTTTTGTATATGTTCAGCATTGATCCTAACATCCATTGAACTCTGTAAATTATCATGCCATGTATTTCCAGTTTTGGAGAGTCCTTAGGGGTGTTAGGTACAACGAGTCGCTTTCCTTAATTCATTCCTGATTGGTGATTACAACCTAAAATCCGGGGCTGTGTTGTATGACAAATGTTTACAAGAAAGCGGATTTTTTTGCTGACTGGATGGCTACGCATTTTAATCATCTCGGCCTTGGTTTGCATGCGCTGTATCAGCCTGCAGATGGTGTGAAGCCTTTGCATTTTACTGATTTTATTGGCATTCGTTGGCCGCGAAACTCTAGGCATTATTTTTCTTCGTTGAGCTTCAGTCACCCGATTTGTCAAATAATATGAACTGTCATTCACAATGGCCAAGAGGTTCAACTTCTCCTCTAGCAACTCTTCCTTCCATCTCTGGTGACTCCTGGCAATAAACTCCTCGATCCTACTCTCCAACATCTTGACATCTTCATCCTCCCCGCTTCCACCAGTCCTCATCATCTTCTACGCTACCATCATCATCCTCGCAATTATCACGAGGATCACCAATGACAAGTTTTCTTGAGTTCGACCTTATCCTTCATTTCATGCCCTGAAGGATTTTCATCAGGATTTTTATGGCCTTCAACATACTCATTGTTGCCTGAAACACCATTATTCTCAGATTCATTTCTTCTCTCTTCATCCTTTTTAGGATAACCATCATTCTCTTCTACTTTTGTTTCATTTCATGTGTTGAAAACTGTTCATCATCAACATTTTCCTTCCTGCTCCCTTCTGTCTCTTCCTTCTCTTCAAGAAGACATAATTCATAAGTAACCATCAGATAATTTATCCGATGACAGATTGGAGTTTTCATGAAGGATACTGGCTATGATCATTTGAAAGGCAATGAACATCAACCCGGCTTTGTCTGTAAACTGATGCAAAAAATGGTGAAAGTAGCACTGAACTTCAGAGATCAATGGTGACAAATAGAATAAGAGAAGATTTAAAATGGTTCCGGGGAATGAAAGAAACAATAAGAATGAATAGATCCCATGAGTAACAACCTGTCTTTGCTCAAAAGAAAAGTCGATAAATATATATATATATATATATATATATATATATTAAAGTACTATTCAATTCACTGTGAAATGCAAAACATGGATGTTAAATTTATAGGTTGAGCAATGGAGAGTTACTATAGGCAGTTTTTGCATGTTGATTCTTGAGATGTTGGTGAGACAATTTCTTTCTATATATAGAGAAATTAAGGTGATTTCTTTCTATGTGTAATTTTGAGTCCAAATATCTTTCCAAGTTGTGTAGTGGATGAAGAAGATGCAGATGCTGCTCGCTTCTTTTACCTATTGTATTGATAAGCTGTCGTTAGTACCAAATAAATTGAATGGAAAGGAAATTGCTCGGCTAGACGCTTTGAAAAATGTTAGAAAACTTAAAAGAGTGATAGGCAAGTGACACAGGATATTTATTATTTAGGGCAAACGACAAACAAGCAATTAACAATGAAGTTGAGGTGTTCAAAAGACACCGGTTTACTAAATCAGAATCCATCATCACGTCGAAGAAAGGCCAACTCTCTCAATAAACATTACATTCAAAATATTCTACATGACACAACAGCGGCAGAAGCCTATCTAATCATCTGTCTAACTAAACAATTGGTGATAATAAATAGGATAAGGCGAAAATGAACATGAACCATGCACTGCATAAGGAAATTTAGATTAGCCTTCAGACAAAGATACATTAATATCAGTGAGCTTATTCCTTGAATCTGATGGCAGCGAAGACCAGCTATCACCACGGAAGGCTGAGGAGATGTTTGATTTCGGATCAGCACTAGAAACGGGAATAGCAGCCATCAGTGTGGCAGCTGATATTGACTCATGCTTCTGTTTCTTAGGCTTCTGCTCATGCTGGTTCCCGGCAAGAAAACTGCCCACTACAACCTGGTTCAAAACAACCAAAAGTAAGAAATTTAGAAGTTCAGTCTTCACCGGGGTTTGAGGTAATCATTTGGTTAAAAGAAAGTTGTGAAAACCCAGAAGCGTGGAAAACAGCAGAGGGAGATAGAAGAAAAAAGGGAAGCAGATGGAAGTGACATAATAGAAGCCAAACCTGCACTGGGCTAGCAGCTACTAGGAGACCAGCAACTCCACCACCTACTACACGCCCATCAGGACTTGCTAATGAAACACTCATCCCACCAGATCTGCCTCTTGTTCCCCCAGTGTCATTGGGCATGAATGAACCAGACAAGGACAGTATCTCAAAACGACCCTGCAAGAAATTTGAGAAGAGATAAGATGTCTGCCAATGAATGATCAAATAAATGAAGTAAAATTCACCCCATCAATAGGCAGATTAAAGTAGATGGGGCTAATATACTGCAACTTATGAAAGTAAAAGCAAGGTTATTAATGTTGATCTTGCTGGAAATATTAATCATTTTAAATGTAGACCTTCAAAGGGATATTATATTTTGAATAAATGCAATATTTAGAAAGGAATGCTCAGATGATCTCCTAACTCCAAAAGGAAATATTTACGGAAAAGAAAAGTGCACGACATAGCTCCAACAAATTGCTTATGCACTCGCTTGCGCACATCACATGTGTCTCTGGTAAGATGTTCATGCAACAGCTCACAACTGTTGATCAAGAAATTTTCTAGAAACACAAAAAATGCTTTCACAGAGAATTCAACTTTCAAAGGGAATGAACAACTGTCAAGGCACAAGCATAGAATGAGTATACATGCTAGGACCCATATAATTCAAAAGTCATCATGACTAATCTAGAATTAAAGAGAAATAAAGCATTACCTCATATGTCAATGTACCCCCGGAAGAATCAGATTGGCGAAGAGTGACACTTGAGATCACCCCATTTGCAGAGAGAATGCATATAGCTCGAGGCCCTTGTTGAGAAAATGATATAATATTCATCGTGACATCCTAAAATAACCAAAAGAAAATCACCGATATACTAAATTAACAAGTTTGTTCTTTAATATCGATCAACAGGATGACAGCACAGTATTCTCAAACCATATTTTTTCCAGAAAAGAAATTATGTAGTTTTTGCATTCATGCCAACTAAAATATCATGCAACCTTGATGCAGAATGTAAGTTTAACTTCCAGATAGCAGTTATGTTTACAACATACCTCACCAGCATTAACAGTGATGATATGCGGCGTAAAATTAGCCCCAACAGAGCATGCAACCCATTCCCCTACAAAAAGCAAAGTCTTACAAAATTAGCAACTAGATGTAGGAGTTTTCTCTGGCAAGGGATCTTCCATCACCAGAAACAATTCCAAACACAGCATAAAGGAAACTGGACAATTAAACGCATGGAATTTTAGGAAATTTAGATCTGTGAACACCGAATTAAGCTCGTTATCCCTATAAATGAATAAGTGGGGAACTCAAGGATAAGCAATCAAAAAGTTTATACCACAAAACCACATCATTATTCTTACTATTATTGATACTGTAGACAGTCAATACCAGGTAAACCTTCATTCTTTATTCAGAGGTTACTTATATGTGAAATCACTAAAATAATGATGCCATCTCAAATTTTACTTTTCAGCTTATATTTATTACAAACAATAATTATTCGAAGATGGGAGCGGATGAGTCATCTTTCAAGGGAACAGAATTAGATTGATTGACAAGGGAAAACAGAATGGCACAAGTGAAAATGAAACAATGTAGAACATAATTGGTGTAATGGAATCTAAAATTCTTCCAAAATGATCTCAAGATCCACTTCTTTTATGGACACATTGAAAAGGAAATCCTACATCCTTAAAATGCATAAATAGGACTTTCCTAGAAAGTGTCATGATCAGTGCATTCTAATCAATATGAAAAAACAACTAAAAACAAGCATTGGTGTCTCAAAGGTCATTGCCCAGCTTAAATCCTGCAAGACAATAATAAACATCCTGGGGAATTCATGAAACTTATCCCGTTGCAATTTGATATTCCCGAAAACAGTGTAAAACATTGTACTACAATACCTAGAAGTTGCATTCTTTGCTAGACTAAAAGGCACGGCACTCAATCTATGTGCCCTGCAACTGAAGTCAGCGGGAGGACAAACTAGACAATTAAACTAGTAATAGTACATATGCTTGTATATTCTTCATTTTTCTTAAGGTTCAAAACTCAAGATATGAGCACGGCTGAAATCAAAGAAATTAGATGCAAGTAATCAAAACCAAGCCCCAGATATTCATCCATTCCCCATATGGTAGAAAAAATCCACACAAATGACATATAGCCACAAAATATCAAAAGATTACGAGTTATTATTCCAAGAAACCAACAACCAAGAACTTAAATCCAAACTCAATAACCCAAAGCATAAAATCAATTTCCTTCTCCATCTGGCAGCAAGATCAGCCATCAAATAGCAGACTTGAGCAGGTGCACCAAAGGTACCATGCACAAAATTCTCTTTCTATAAACGACGCCAAGTGGCAAAGGACACTCATAACAAGAAGATTCCATCATTCCCATATTACATACCAACCCATGAAAACTCTCACCATCCTTCCAAAACTACCACACACACACTTATCAAGAGATCCCTCAAGTAGGGGCATCTAGTCACGGCTCTAAGGTCCCACTTCAACCCAACACTATCACAAACTTAAAACTCAACAGGCCTAACCCTTTCTCCCTACTCACTAAAAACACTTAAAACAACACAAAGTGAAACACAAGAGCTCTAAGGTCCCACTTCAACCCAACACTATCACACACTTAAAAATTAACATGCCCACCCCTTCTCCTTATTCACTAAAAACACTTAAAAACAACACAAACAAAGTGAACCAACCATCACCATAAAACACCAAAGAATCCAACTTTTAACATGAAAACAGCCACCAAATCACTTGGAACTCAAAAGGGTATCCACCAAAATGGCTAATAGTTTCTCGCCTAAATTCTCCAGCTCGTACTTAGCCTTCGAAACAAACGTCGGCGACTTTACTTTCCCTCTCTTCCCGGCTGAGAAATCGATCACCGAAGGCGGCGCAGCCGTCGATATAGGCTTTGGAGAGAGCGCCATAGTGACTGAACCTTCCGGTCCATATTTTCTAGGCCTTCCCCTCTTTTTCTTCACGGGCATCCCCGCCACCAAAACCGGCAGCAGGGCTGGTTGCACGGCCGATTTCGAAGGAGGCTGCGGCGGCGTAGAGGATCCAGGAGTCAGGCTCTGGCTGGCGTTTTCGGACCTTGGAGCTATGTGGTAGTCCGATGGAGCATCGGATCCTACCACTGTAACCCCACCAGTGGCAGTAGTAGTAGTCACAGCATCTCTTGACTCCATAGTTAAAACTTAAACCTCTACAAAAAAAAAAAATTATCCTTTTTGAGGTTTTATCAAAAACCCGTTTGGATTTTAAGCTCAAACAACTAAACACAAGGATTGAATTTTTAAAAAAAAGTACAAAGAGAAGAGCTTTTAAGTTCAAAACCAGAAAGAGATTTTGAGTTTTTGGTACCAAGGAAAAAAAAACCAAAAAAAAAAAAAGAAGAGTAGAAAGAGAGCTTTTAAATTCAAAATCAAGAAAAGATTGAGTTTTTGGTACTAAGAGAAGGTTTTGAAGTTGATTTTGGAGCTAAAAATACTAGTTTTTTTTTTTTTTTGTCAGTTAAACTCAAACAGAGAATATGAAGGGGTTTCTAATTTTTTTGAAAAAATTTTGTAAATTATTTTTGGAGAATGAGATTTGTGAAGGAAAAGTTAGAAAAAATGATTTTGAGTTGCTTGTGATTTTTTTTATTAAAAAAAGAAAATGATGAGATATAAATAATAAAAGAGATTTTTTATTTTGTTGTCTGGATTTAAGATTAATAAAATAATGGAAAAGGAAATTATTCAACAGGGCCTTTAATGAAATATTATTCTTTGTAATCATTAATTATTTTAATTGTTAAGATATTGATATTTATGTTTGGTTGGAATCTTATAAATAAAATATAAAAGTGGTTAGATTTTTTTTAATTTTTTTAAGGGACAATGAGAGTATGGGTATGTGTGGATTATTATATAAATATACTCAAAAACATAATTTTTTATTTCTATTTTGAATGAATGGCAAGTAAAATTAGGATGCCAAGGCTTGAAGAAATTGTTTAGAAAAGGAAAAAAAAAAATAGAGGGGTGGGCTAAGGCAAGCAATATCATTACTTTTTTTATGGGGCCTAATAATTTATTCTTTATTTAAAAAATATATAATATCATTAAAAATGTGAAATTTGAAAAAACATATTCCCATTCCTAAATTGTTTTCTTTTCATTAAAAAAAAAGAACAAAAAAATGAAAAAAGGAAAATTCATAGTAACATAAACTTTGGCCACTCGTGGGGGGAAATTATTGGGAAAATAAATTTGAAAATTGTGTAAAAGAAAAAGAAATATAGCAATCTATTGAATGAAAATAAAAATAAACTTTCCCCCTCTTAGACTGAAAAATATCTTCTTTTTTTTTTTAAATTACTCTATTTCATTCATATTTTTATTTTATAAAATTAGTATTAATTATTATCTCATCAAACAGACATGACCCAACAAAGGTGGTTTTTTTTTTTTTTTGGATAAGTGAAAACTGCTTTTTGCAGACATGATATAATACCATAGTACTTTATGATGTGATATTATGTTATCTCTTAACTAATGTAAATTAGTTTTATAAAAAATAATAACTTATTATATTAAATCAAATATATGTTATCTATTTTTATATTTTATTTGGAAGGAAAGAGCTAAGAGACAAAGAAATGAGAGAATTTATGATCAAATTTTTAAAATAGGATTAACCATTTTCAATTTTCCCTTTTCTCTAGAATAGATCTAGCTTCATGAGAAATACTTTCAGGCATATAAAAAATATAAAGAATATTTTATCTTTTTCAATATTTTTCTCCCTCTCTTTTTTTTCATATTTAAGGGAAATTTTTTTTAATTTGATGTGATGGTAATTTTTTTAATTTAGTTATGTATTACTGTGTTCTTCATTTAATAAAAAATTAAAATTTTTTTATTAAATCTATCGATTAAATCATCACTCATGCATTAAAAGATTAAAATGTATATTACATAATTAAATAAATAAAATTAATTTATATATCGCATAAGTAACAAATTAATTTATTAAAAAGGCTATAAATTTTTGTAGATAAAATAATTAATAATAATTTGATAGCAAAAAATCATGAAAACGTTACGCGCAACAAATAGGTGAGATGTAAGGCTAGGTCAAATATCTCTTTTTCAGAAAGAAAATAATTAAATATATATATTATGAAAAAAAAAGTAATCATAATTCAATAAAAATAATTATTTTAATATTGTGATCATGGATGGACCGCAAACGTTGAACCAACAAAAATGCAATGAATTTCAGTTATAATATTAACAAATTCTGAAAGGTACGTTGCCCAAAACAAGAAAATAATATTAAAGAAATTAGATTGTGATAAGAACAAACTTACAAATAGTATTTAATTATTTTTTAAAAGTTTTATAAGTATTGGTGAGCATCCACAATTTTTTATTTTTTAATTAATTATTATTATTATTATTTGAATATATAAAATTGTGAAACTCGCAAACATCTTTAATTTATTTAATTTTTTGGCAGGTAATCAGACCTAATTCTTTTTTTTTTATTTATTTCCAACTCATTGAAAAGAAAAAGGAAAAATAAATAATTGAAAATTTTGTCATAAAAAATTAACACTTGAAGTTAAAGCCAAGCGCTGGTCATATTGCATGTCTATGTCAGGGAGTGGAATACCAAGCTGGAAAATAATATTAGTATATTTTATTTATTTAAAATTCATATTACTATTATATTTTTAGTTTTTATTTTATTTATTAAAATTTGCTATCTTTGCTTAATAATATTTTTATAATAAAGAAAAAGTTAATTGCCGGCATCCCAATTAATTTTAGTTGATAAGAACATGGCTACTTGATTGCCCTTTTTATGTCATTATGATTCTTCAATTTAACTTAATTGATTATCATTTGAAAATGACTTTTATTTTTATTTTCTCAAAAATATTTTAAATTTTTTTTTTGATGATTCAAAAGAGTAAAACACCATATATCTTGAATTTTCCTTTAAACAAAAGAAAAAGAAAAGCTATGAAACCATTACTACTTTAAGTTAGCTTAACCCTTCCAAAGAAAAAGCAATAATCAAATCATTCCTACAACATATTTTTAAGTTTTTTACTTTCTAGTAATTAGTTTGTAAATTTTAAAAATAAAAGAAAATTTGGTGAATATTTGATGCATATATTTCCACACTTAAAAATTTGAGTTCGAAATTTTTTTTAACAAAAAAGTAAAAAAAAAGAAAAAGAAATTCATACTAAACACTACTACTAGTAGAACATAAGAATCTTGGGTATGGAATGGTACATAAATCCTTTTAGTTAAACCAGGTTCCAAATTGAACAGCAGTTATGTTGGAAAGAGGGGCAGTGAAGATAAGTGGAATGAGAGTGAAAGTGACAGATGATAAAATGGGGTGGTTGTCCCATTTGAGATGCTTTATAAATGAGTAATAGAATCCATTTTTACATGTAAAAGAACAGAAACACAGAATCTAGTTGTTGGTCTTGCTGGTAAGAATCAATATCAATAAAAGGGTCAAACGTAGGAGGTAACTGTTTCTATTGTAAGGGTTCCTTCCTCCTCCCCTTGTACTTGTCAGTTCCTTGATCCTCGAAATTTTTACACTTGTTCGATTTCGAAGTTACCAATTTCAACGGCCAAAGCCTAAAACTTGAATGAGTATGTGAACAGAACATATGATAAAATTGTCTTTTATAAATTAATCCTAGTTGTTTCCAATAAAAGATCCTCTGGGAATTTCGGCAAAGGATTGATGGCCGATATATCACTCGCGATTATATATCGACAACCCAATATATCAGGCAGCCCCTTTTTATGACTGTCGACGTGAAATCAATTTTCAAAGACCATGACCTTAGGCAATCCATTAAGACGAAGTGCTTTTCCACTGGCCACCAGCTGAGCTGTGGCTTTCTAAATCTAACAAGTTCTGGCCCATTTTTGAAAGGCCTTGGAGGGATCCCGAGATTGCAAACTTGGGATATGATGGGTCTTTTCCTCTCTCCACAGTGCTTCTTTAATCTCAAATTCAGATTGAAATTTGAGGCCTAATTCTATTACACCAACCAGCACAGCAGAATCCCAAATGGGTTGGTCCATCGTCAATTATACCCCAATTTCCCCAGAAGCGACCGTAACTTGGGGTCAGCCCGAAGAAAAGACCCTTGATTTGGCCTTTTGGTACATCTCCATTTCTTTCTCAATTAAAACAATTAAAACAATTAGAATTGCATCTCCTAATAGTATTCATATATAAGATTAAAAAAAAAATAGCATCACTAGTAACATGATTAGAATTAAAAATAAATTGGACGGAATATATTATTTAAAATTATTGTACTATAATTAATTAATTATAAATAAAATGCTCCAATCTACACCATGATAATATCAGGAAAGAACCACTCAAATTTATGAACATTTGACTCCATCATATGTCATGGATCATGTTTCATGTATATTTGGAATGACAAGTAGTTCTGGATTTGATTAGATTAGACATGAAGATAGAATTGTGACATTGGGGGAATCAACTAGTCCGATCATTTTCACGAGTCTTGTTTTTTATGTATCAAGACCCTACATGAGATAGGAATAATGACATTCCATTAGACAAATAGCAAATTCCAAAGCTTTGGTCAGAATCTTCTTTCTCCAAAGTCTACTTATCTGATTTAGCATCTTTGGGGAACATTCGATTAATTGAATCCTGCTGTATTTGAGTTTATAATTTGCATCATCAGCTGGAAAATTCAACTGAGCCTGCAATAACATTACAATTAGAAAAGGCCAAAAGCAAGCATCCGTCAGATTCTGCTAACAAATAGAAAAGAACTAAGAAGATTACTGTTAGCAGCCAAGGTTCCTCCAGAAACAAGGCTTCTGGATGGAGCCCTAGTTCCATTATTTAGTCAAAATCCGGCAACTAAATATTTTTGTATATAATTAACAAAGAATTTATAGTTATTTTTGTGGTTATACTGAGACATCCGTTAAAATTTGAACTATACAAATGTAATTGTCTTGTCTACGTGATTCGCCTAATTACAGTTTGCCAATTAACAAGAAAACCGGCATAGCCATCCTTCAGACTTCAACAATGTCCTAAACCCTAAATTTGTTGTCCTCTTGGATTATTATCTTGTTTATATTTAACGATGCTTACTAGTCTCTTAAGCATTTAATCCAAAATTACTCGAATATAAAAAAAATTCATTTAACACGTCCTTCACATTTATGTCCAAAAAAAATATAATAAACATGAATTTTAATATTATGTTAAGCGCATATCTAAAATCAATTGATTACAAACATAAAAGTTCAATTTGAATATAAAATATTAAAAAATTTAAAACTTACGTACGTGGGATAACATCATTTATCAAGGTCAATGCTAATTAATTTTATTTACTATGGTAACCAAGTAGGCCAAGTCGCCAAGACTCTGAGTGGTTATCAACTTATCATAGTAGCTTTTGTTGAGGTAATAAATGTAGTTAGAGATTATGATATGGTAAAATTAAGGATTAAGATGTCATTACCATATTGTGTCGACGTGATTCCTGTCCTGTGTGATTCTCTACTTTTTTAGTGAGAATCCCCTTGTGTAAATAGG